AGACAAAAGCAATGCTGAAGCAGAGCGTGCACAAACAGGTGAAAGAAAATGGAAGCATAATTCCTGCATCGAAAAATTGCAGTAAAATTAAGAATAAACGATTAGAGAAGAGCGAAAGTGAGGATGGACTAAAAAGAGATAAACTATTCAAGAGGCCTGTAACAATAGCAAATCAGGCGGAGAAAACTCCGAAGCAGGGAGAAAGCGAAATAGAAAAACAAATAGTCAGGAAGAGATCTATTGAAAAAGCCGTCCAAAAGATCACTACACAATCACCACAAGAAGAAAATGAAACTGAGAATGAAAAAGAGGAAAAAGTCATCAAGAAGCCTGAATGTAAGTTAGCCACGGAGATAAGCGAGAATGAATGGCAACAAGGTAAAACAACCAGCGATGATAGCAGAACAGCTGAAATCATCTCAAATAGAATTTCAACTAGTAAGACGGGAATGGCGTTGTCGGAGAAGAAGAAACAAGAAAGTGAAAATGTGCAAGAGCAAGAAAAAATAGAAAAATACACCGATAAGGCTAAATTTCAAAACGACGAGAGCGAATTAGACAGCTATATCGAAGAAAGAGACAATGAACAATCCAATAAGAGCTCGCTAAGAAGATGTGCTGCTGCAACGGAAAAGAGTGGTTCACTACACAGGGATAGTGAAAACGGGGCTGTCACAAAGAAACCACAACATGAACAGGGCAAAAGTGAAAAAGGGGAAAGGGCAACTACGAGCACTCTAATTTCATCTGTCATGAAGACGGAGAAAAAATTACAAGAGAATGTAAATATAGAGGAAGAAATTCAGATCTCAAGATCTGGTGGTATGGCGGGAACTGAGAGGTCTGGCTGGAGCGAAAGTGTTAGCAAGCATGGAAATGAGGAATTTAGAAAGAGGCCTGCATTTAAGACATATGAGGCGGACTCTTCAACAAAAATCACTAGGAAGAATGAAAATGGTGTTCATGGTGGGAAAGTGCACGAAAATGTCCACAAGGACGCCTCTCGGAAATCCATACACAAGATTAAAAGAGGAAGGTCACGGCAGGAGGAGAGCGATAACGAGAATGAGAAAGGAGAAGAAACGATCTCTAAAGGGAATCTCGTCAATGAAGTGGAACAGAAGGCATACCATGACAGCGAGAGCGAGAGTGATAGTAAGATTGAGCTGGAGAAATCAAAGATCTGCAAGAAACCAGTGGGAAATTCTGACGGTAAGAAATCAAGGACACTCTTTGAGCAAGAACGATGCGGGAGAGAAAGCGAAATAAAGCGTCAGCAAGAGGTCACCAGAAGCTGTACAAAGCAACCCCCCAGTAAGACAGAAAACAAGATACAACACCAATATATTGAGATCGGAAGCGAGAGTGAGAGCCAGACTGAGCTAGTAAAAGAAAATGCCATCAAGCAAACAATACAAAGAAAAATCAGTAAAAGAGTGTCCCAGCACCGAAAGAGCGATAGTCCGATTAAGCATGAGACACAGGCCAGTAAGCAACCTGCTGGAAAATATGTTGATAAGACAATATTCCAGCATAACGAAACTGTTAAAGAAAAGGAAATAGCCGGTAGAAACTTTCAAGAAAAATCGGAAAAGAAAATGTGGCAACAGGAAAACGCCGTTTATGATAACGAAAGCAAGAATGATGCAAAGACAACGTGCAATTCTACAAGAAAACTTGTTTCGGGTCAAAGAACCGAACTTAAAGAGATTGAAAGCAGTAATGAGGTTAAAGAAAAGAAAGAAAGGCATCCCACAGAGCAATCTACTGTCAAAAGGTCAAAGGAGACACCAAAGAAGGATGACAGAGAGCAAGATAAGGACTGCACGATTTCTTCAGGGGAGTCCGTCAGTAGGATACCATACCAAGAGAGTGAAAAAGAAAGCGAAGGCGACAGTGACACTTTGCTACAGAGAAAAAGAGTCAGAAAGACGAGAAAGAAAATTCCACAACATGAAGGTAGCGAAAGCGATGGCGATGAAACATCTTCCTTAAATAATACAATAAAACTCGAGAAATGGACGGAAAAGAATATGCAGCATGAAGATAGTTGGGAGAGCGATAGTGAGAGTGACACTGACACTGACAGTGAATGTGAGTGGGAGAACGCAATAGTAATAAAGCAATCCACGAGAAATTCTGTAGGAATTAAGAGATTTCAACACGTTAAAAATAACACCGAGGACACTAAAGACGAAGTTCTAACTAAATCTCAAACAAAACCTATGTTCAATTTGAAAATCGATAAAAAATTCAAGAGAAGATCTAGCAGTTTGTCGGTTGAAGCGAGTGATGTTGAGAATGAGCTAGAAAAGGAGAAAATCAAAGAGCAATCCGTGAGCTATTTTGTCAGTAATGAGAGGCCTCAATATGTAGAGAGCCACTATGAGAGAGAGAGCGAAATCGAGAGAGATAGTGAGAATGATCTAGAAAACGAAACTATCATTCCACAACAAGAAAATCGCCAAAGCGGAGATGAAAGACTCATTGAGCACGAAAGAAAATCGAGATCGGGAAAGAAGGAAAGGGTGAACACGGAAGATTCTGAAGATGTTACCAAAGAGGACATTAAACGGGAAAATAATAAACAGAAGATTTCCAAGAAAGATCATCATGATAGTGACACTGAGGAAACTCAAGATGAGCTTCCAATTAGATCTCAAACTAAGATTCTATTTAATTTCAAACGAATAAAAAATAGCTTCAAGAGAGGATCGAGTAAACATAGATCAAAAAGCAAAGAGAAAGAGAGTGGCAGTGAAACTGAGCTAGAAGAGGAACCCATCAGAAGATCCAGTGATGTAGAGAGCCACTATGGTAGTGACACCGAAGAGTCACAAGATGAACTACCAACAAAATCTAAAGGAAAGAGGCTATTTAATTTCAAGCGAATCAAGAACAGATTCAAGAGAGCAAGCAAAGAGAAAGAGTATGACAGTGAAATTGAGCAAGAAGAGCAAACGTCTAAAAAGGAACCCATCGGAAGTTCCGTTGAGAAAGAAAGATCCAGTGATGTGGAGAGCCACTATGGTAGTGACACCGAGGAGTCTCAAGATGAACTACCAACAAAATCTAAAGGAAAGAGGCTATTTAATTTCAAACGAATCAAGAATGGATTCAAGAGAGAATCTAGCAAACACAGATCAAAAAGCAAGGAGCAAGGTTCAAGTAAGGAAAGCGTTGGAACAGAAGATGGCGATGGTGAAGGGGAAAACGAGTATGATGAAAAGAACACCAAAAAGAAAAAGTCCAACAAAAAAGCAACTAAGAAAGCAGAGTCAAATTCCGGAGAGGATGAAGATGAGAGCAACAAGGCAAATAAGTCAATTAAAGCGGATAGGAAATCCAGCAAAGGGAATAAGGGGGAAGTATCTCATTCTGATAGTGAATCTGGACAAGGTACCAAAAAAAGGAAAGGCTTCAAGGCGAAATTTAAAGGTGTTAAACAAGGTGTGAAATCAAAATCGAGATCTCCCAGGGTGGATGAAGTCGAGGACAAACGTGGAGACAAAAAAACTTCTCCATCAGACACTGAAGATGTCGATGGTCATGAAGATGAAGAAGTCAAGAAAAACGAAGAAGAGAAGAAAACAACCACAGAATCTGGCCCACGTCGCATCGATTATTCCACGTTTTTAGCCAGCACGGTTGTTAAAAATGCTGAAAAGAAAGAAGTAGAGAATGGAATGGAAGAAACCTCAGTGGCAAGTGGAAGCGGATCTGGACAGTTTGTAGGTGGTTCCTCGACAAAGAAAGGCTTCAAACAGAAGTTCGAGAACTTTAAACAAAGAATGAAGTCCAAGAGAAATCCTTCCATAGTAAGTAGCGGCAGCGAGGATGAAGGCGAAATTGCAGAGGAAGAACAAAGTGAAGAAGAGGTCACCAGAGGGAGGGGAAGATTCAAATTAAGTTTCAAATTTAAGAGACGCGAGAGAGAAACTTCCCTGGAGAAAAGAATTAATGAACGGGCCAGGTTGGTGGCCAAGAATGAAAAGACGCTACAAAAGGCAAAGAAAAAGAAAGAAAAGAAGGAGGCGAAGAGAAAAAAGAAAGAGGAAAAGGACAGGAGCCATGGATTTCGAACGATACGAAGCTTTTTCTCAAGGAAGAAAAATGAGCCACAATTACCCGAGAGTAACAACGCCAAATCCATTCTAGTGGATAAACCGAAACTGAAAACTCAAAGTACCATTCCCGAACCCACTCCAGTGGTTAAACAGAAAGTGACAATTCACAATTCAGACTGGGATACGAGCAGTATGAGCAGTGTACAGAGTGAAAAATCTTGGAAACAGAAGCTCAGAGAACATAACGTATGTATACTAAGTCATGTTATTTTTCTTACAGTTTTGGTTCGTGTTTGCAGAAAAGTAGGACGTAAAACTCCATTCTTTTCATTTTTTGATTCGTGTTATAATACATATATACCATGAGTATAGTATATTGTATAGAATATTCTATTCTAAGTAGCTAAGGTCATACCTAGGATGGAACTTGTCGATTCTTATTCAGATCTGTAATTGCTATTCGTAACGAACTGTTGGAAATTTTGAATTTTACATTATGCTCTGACGCGTTTTATTATTTAAGTTGAATTACTACATATTCAATTAATTTGTACCCCAACTTTTCTTTCCAGAAACAACTACTCTTAAGATCAGAAGGGGCAACAAATAAGGTGAATAACGTTTTTATGGATAAATGACGCTGTTGCTGGTATCATCTGATAACTAAATATAGTCGCCAAAGATATCCTAGCGCATCTAAGGAAGATTCCAAAAACTATTTCGATTCCATTTTTGATTGTGTCAACGTATATTTAACACTATATACCATTTTTTTCAATTCAATGCAAGGCTCGTCCTTTCTCGTCCAACTAACCCAAATAAATCCCAATTTTCAGTTCTACATAGCTGATAGCAAGGGCCATCTTTTAAGAAGTCATCTTCATTCTTCTTCAGGAACAAGGTCCATCAAGATCACCTACAGAAAACTCAGAAATGAAGTTACAGGATTTATCAGATCATGAAGAAATCGCCCTGCAACCATATCAAATTCATCTGCCCGACACTCCGCAATATGAACAGTTTGCTATTCCACACACTCAACAATCAAAAACCGCTGTAGAGTTAATCCAGCCAGATGCTCCTCAACAACCATCTTCTGTGTCTCCACCAAAGAGCCCACCACCAGAGGCTACCCCAAATGCTGTCAAATCACAGCAATCACCAAATACGACTGCTGCAGACAAAACAGATATAGACATACTAAATGATCTTATTGCAGAATTGGATGAGGTAAGTATTTAAAATTTGGAAATGAAATGAAATAAAGATTTGTGTACCTGTTTTTGTCTGAGGATGGGCAACATCGTAAAGCTTGTAATGAGGAAAAAGTTTGACAGAATAGCGACATAGCTTTCTTTTTTTCAAATGCAAGCTTTCGAGGGATCGTCAACGTGCTCAGTCCCATCCGAGCAACATTGACTGTATCAATTTCTTTTTTTTTTTTGTCTTTCAGATTGAAAAAATACAGATATAAATTAGAAATCAAGCACTTAAGAACTGATTTGCATAGGAATTTGATCAGCAAGGAACAGTTTTTTTGCATTTCAAGTAATACATTCGGTTACAATGTGGTGTTGACGTGTCGATATACACTTTGTTTTCATTTTGTTTTTTTGTTTGTTTTTGTTGTGTTTTTGTTTTTGTTTTTTTGGGAGGAGGGTGAGGGGGGGCAAATTCTGTAAATAGCTTCAATAAAATTATATTATCAAATCTGTCATGGCTGACATACAAACATTTATTTTACTCTTAAGTTTATTTTATTGGAGTTCGCTTAAAATGATTGTAAAGAGGTTTTCTTAACTTTTAATGCATTTCGGGGACGTCAAATTGATGCTATCAGTTTCCCCGATACACGTAAAACGTTTAGAAAACCTTCTTATGGCCCCTTTAAAGTATTTTATTAATAATGGGAAAGCTATACTGAATTGCTGCGGGTCCCTTGAACGTACTAAAACAAAGACAATTGTTGAGGTATCTTATGAGTGTGTCGTCGTCAGAGAATTAGTGACAGTTAACTACTCACAGAGGAGAATGCAATTTATGGACTCTTGGTTGCAATTTGCTAAATATGAATTAAGAGGCTTGAAGGTTGTTATTTATTATACAGAGCATTTTATAACGTCATTTAATACTTCAAAATTCTTTGAAAGGAACGTAAGTCATCTTCTGCACATACCCATACTTCTTACACCCCGAAAACCACCATCTGTAATAATAAGTAGGATGAATTAAGATGTTGGTATTGTCTGTGGGCAACCGAATTCAACAACAGTTAACAAAGTTTTTGACTTGCGCGGTATATAAACTGAACAATAATTTAATTGTTGGTTTTGTCTGTGGGAAACTGGATTTAGCAACACTTCTAGAAGCAAGTATCTAAAGTTCTGAGGTTTTTTGACTAGCTCAGTAGATAACCAATAACGTAATCATGCCTCCTATGTATATTTTGTAAAAGGTTAGAATTTCAATGTGAGAAAATGAAAGAAAGAAAAACAAACCCATTTCTGATGCATATCTTGGTGTTTCTCAATTCAAAACAATCAAAATCCAGTACATTGAAATAAATGTTTCCGATGACTGATCCCAGCTCATCAGTAGAATTCTTCAAACAATCATAAAATTCATTTTCACAATCACAATGAGATCTTGAATGAAAAAATAGATTTTTGATAAGTAAAATTTCATGGATAAAAACAATAAAGAGTGTAAGACACAGAAATATACGACGACAAAGATAACAAAATATATGTACAGCTCGTGCACAATTCATTATAATAAAATCTTCAACAGTTGAGCTTAAGGACTTTTTGCAATTTAGGACAAAAAGAATGGATTTAATTTTCATTAAAAAGGAAGTCTTACTTAGTAAATAATCCGGCATTAAACAGGCCGTGTTTTGATGAAAATGATCCGATGGTGTCGGGACAATAATCGTGGCCTCTGCAACAAATATCAGTCTCCCTTTTTTCTCCTAAATCAGTAAAATTAGCTGCAGCATTTCCTCTTCCACACCATTTGGTACCTTTATAGAAAATAAAATATTACATGTATTGTGTCATAAAGTGAAACTAATACGGGTCCGTTCGCCCTAAAACATGTTTGCCCTCAAACATAGTCCCATGTTCGCCCTAAAACTTGTTCGCCCTAATCCATATTCACTGAGTATTTATCCATAAAATTGCAGGTACTTATCAAAAGTATGGCTTTATGTGAAACAAGCAAATTTTGCAATTAATGACATCATCAAACATTTATTTTTTTTGTGGAATTGCAAGAATTGTGCAAATTGATGCTATCAGTGTCCCCGATAAGCATTTAAAATTTAGGGGTTGTCCAATTAATACACAGTTTAATGGATTTATAAACAAGGATTCTGTTCTTTAGATATGATATCTGGTAATTTAAATTTGATGTTCATTCTTAGAGGTAGTCTTCCTTTAAATAATGACGTCATAATACTTGTAAAATCTGCTTTGGAAAATGATCAAAATTGTAGACGAACTGTCGGTCAATTTTAATTCAGTAAAATTGGTTATTTTTAATTTGAGTTTTATTGATAATTGGTAAAGCAATAATGCATATGACTATAACTTAGTATATATATCTGTCACTCGACGCCCTGGTATATCGAAAGTGTTAAATTTCTGAATGGTTTTGACAGTTATAGGCAAGTGAAAACTTTCTTTTATAAGATATATAACTCAGTCAATATCCCACCTATAAAACGTGATAAAAGTATATAATAATACTAACCCGGATATATCATCCCAAAATTAGCTGAACGTTTCTGTACAGAATGATTGACGTCGGTGGGACATTTGTTGACTTCTCCCCCACTTTTCTTTCTATTACACCATTCATGATCCTTTATTGATCTTTTCCCCCTATTTCCTGATTTTTCCCTGCAATCTTTTTATTTCGGAGAATATAGCCTGGCTGAATAGAACACATAAGTTATAATTAACAAAAATTTTACGCTAGACTACAAAATGCCTCGTTACACCCAAAAAAATCAAAATAACCCACTGGTTGCGAACCCCTGTAATTGAATTGCTGTATATACTAATGTCCTTGTATGAATATAGGTTTACAATTTACACAAAAGAAATGTTTAATGAGGATTCAGACTGACGATCCTTTAATACTTATAGCCTAGCGTTTCGGATTAATATGTTATATATTAGATAATAAAATTTGACTGAATTTCCAGATGATTATTTATAGTAAAATTTTCTACTTTCCTGTTACTAAAAAAACGGATTCCAATATTTTTAAAACTTCCTAATGCCTAAAAAAAAAGGGGAATTTTGTTGCATTTTAAGAATAAAATTGGCGAAAGAACGGAATCCACGTCATGGAAGTCCTTGACAATGGCGGCGGCGCCAATGGGTGGCATTAATTTCTAACAAAATAAAACCTATGATTTATATACGTTTTTGTCCCAATACTTTTGTCAGAATGCACCAAATCAAGTCTATTTTTTCCAAGCAAATTTGGGGAAAAACTCTATCAGACGTTCCATGGGAGACTTCAGATGTTCCATTGGAGACTTGTGCCTGTTTCATAGATATGCCATATTTTGAATCTCAGCCTCGATAACAATTTCATTACTTCAACTAAAGACCATACACTGGTCATTGCCTTTCCGGAAATATAAACTATAAGAAATATAAGCCCGAACAATCGAGTCCGTAAAAATGTTTGTTATTTGGTTTTGGCATCCGTCACGGGACGTTCATTCAAGTGTCAATTTATTCTTTTCTTATCCTAGATGGACTAAGACATTTAACCAATGTCATACAGATTGCTGTGAGAACACCAGCATTTGTGTTTCTCCGTCAAGTGTTTAAAACCAAAGAGTTCTCACTTTGAACCATTATCAATGGGATGAAACCATATGATTATGAGGGTGATCCATACAGATGAAAAGCTCAGCTGAAAACAGATTTGAGATTTACGTACAATCATACGACCAAATTCTATCGACAAATAAGAATATTTGTAAGATATTTTGAGAAATGACGGACTCCGAGATGGTGTTTCTCATATAGATCCTTCACAATTCGCCCATATCTATTCCCATTGTGCCCCTTTCTCATTTTGTATTTTTAAATATATACCCTCTCCCATTTCACCCCTGCCCACTTCGCCACTTTCCATTAATTTTTTGCGTTGCATCTACAAAAGAATTTGACACAAATTACAAAACCTTAATTGAATCCTCTTCTTGTTATTACGATAGCTTGCCAGTCAAGGTATCATACGCCCACTGAAATGATTACGGTCTTTTTAAAGATCCTTATAATGCATTTAATATCTCATCTATTTACTGTCAGTAATTTTCAGTAGTTTTTTCCACAAAATCTACCCTAAACCAATAGCAATAACCCAAATACATTTTATCATACTGCTCTCAGGTTAAGGGAGCTGCGGTGGCTCAGTGAGTTAGACGCTTGCTAGCTAACCTGAAGGTCCAGGGCTCAATCCCGGCATGGGTCGAGATAATACCTTCGGATTTTTCAACCCGGTTTCACCCTGTCATTGATGCAGGTAAGAGGGGCTGACAGGGAAAAAGCGTCTAGTCGTTCGGATGGGACAATAAACCGAGGCCCCGTGTGCTACAGGCTGTGCACGTTAAAGATCCTTCGACAGTTGGAAATCGAAAAAGAGCAGTCTAATGCCGCTGTCCTGGAAAAAGTTGCCCCTTTGCACCCTGCATAACGTTGCCCGCCTTCATTAGCCCACAAGGTGGAGAAAAGTAGGACGTAAAACTCCATTCATTTCATTTCATTTTTGCTCTCAGGTTTAGATTTTTTTTAAATATATATAAGTCAAGGCAATACCTCAAAGACTGTTTCTCATCAACAGATAGTGTAATTGTAGTCTGTATCATAATAATATATTAAATCAAATTGTCAATTAAAACAAGAGCCCATTAATATATACTTTGCACACCAGGTTTCATCAAGATCAGGTAAAAACTAGCCTTTATCGTGTCCACAATCCAAATTTCACGCATTTTTAATAAAGGGCAATAATTCAAAAACCGTCCATCCGATTATTACCAAATTCAACTTTATCCGAGATCTCATCAATTTATACATGCATACTAAATTTCATCAAGATCAGATGAAAACTGTAGCCTCTATCGTGTCAATTTGAGTCAAGGGCAATAGCTCGAAACCCATTCATCTGATTAATACCAAATTGGGAAGAGGACAAATCCAGGAAGGGGCAATATGGGAAAGGGGCAAAATAGCTAAGGACGATATGGGAAAGGGACGAAACAGGAATCATTAAGGGGCGATATTGGAGGACACTCTCGGGACATTTTGAAAAAATGAAAATTTTCAACCGCTGTTTAACATCCAATAGAAAAGAAATACTAGCATTTCATATTTTTAATAAACCCTTAATCCTGAAACTATTTCACAGAAACTTGAGTTTTTACAACAAAATATTAACAATATACATGTAATAAAAGTGAAATATTCACAATTCAAATTTTTGATAGTGACTCAATATCAATTACGCGACCCACGTGAGGTGCTTTCCAACATACAAATTCAACAAATATTCTTCAAATCAAACCAGGGAAGAGTTCACTGAATGATTCTTGCCAAATGTCATCTGAACAATTAGACACTTCACTTTTAGGAGACAGGGCTTCGCTATCACTTCCTAGTCCAGAATCACTCAAGAAACCTTCCTCTGAAATATACTCATTGATTTCAGAGATCTTTCGTTTTCGAGTATTGTTTCCGTCGGCACTGTTAGGTGATACATGTTGTACACATTGGTTTTGTGAAATAGGTTTGGATACATTGTCTTCAGTTAGTTGACTGATAAAGTTCTCGCTGATTAAAGAATCTAAGTCATCCCACAAATGAAAGTCATCCAAGTCATTCATGTCTGAATTCTGGTTGAGATTCTGATGTTGTGTTTCCATGTCAGTAATGTTTATGGATGGTGTTTGAAAAGAAGGTTGATTTTGAATAACCTCGGAATTTTGATTTTGCACACAATTTGTTGTGGGAACTATCGAGTTTTGTGTGGTTACTCGTTTAAGAGTTATATTACGGTTATTGTTTATCACACATTTTTGTGTGTTTGTTGGTTTGTCAACTATTTTAACAACAACTGGATGACCATTCAATACCATTTGACCTTGACCTTCAGTCGTGGACGTTGACACACTAACTGAGTTGGGTTTATAATAAATATGATCAAATTTTATAAGTTCATTGATGGATTCCAGCTCTGCTGGTGAGGGCCCCACCATTGCCCTCCGTACTGATTCGGTTCCGTTTTGATGCGGACTAACCGAGATGGATTTGACTGCTTTCGTTTTCTGCTGGAACTGAGTTGCTGTTGAACTTTGTTTTGGTTGGTGCAGTAAACTATACACAGTAGGGTGCTGAGTAACAGGCAACAGGCCTTGTATTGCTCCATCCAACGAAGTGGAGTCGAAATCTGCTCCTTCGGCAGAGGAACAGCAGATGCTGCAGATCTGTGGGATTTCGTCTCCAATTTGTCAGATGTTGCTAAGTCTGTTTTTCCGTCGTTACATTGCCCCAATCTTTGTTTTAATTCAGTGTTTTCAGTGACTAAAGAATCGGATTGAATTTTCAATGTGGTGTTTTCATCTTGTAATTTCTTTTTTTCCGCCTCCAGTTGTGCTATTTTTATTTCCATTTCACTCATTAGGGCCTTCTTCCGATCTCGGGCTGTTTGGGCTGCGACTCTGTTTTTTAATTTTCTGTAAAGAGAAAAAATATATTGATTAAAATCTAACCCTAAGTTTTAAACACCAATTTTGACCCGCTCTACAGAAGGCACCCAAAATCCACTCCTACGCCCACTTTCAGAATACCTGATGTCACTTCGTAAGACTAAAGTTTGACCACTACGCACACTTTTATAAAGCCCAAACTACAATTAAACAACTGGAAATGAAAAAATATTGTGCTCATGCCCATGTACTGTCACTTTAAACCACTGACGTGTCAACTGTCAATACTCGAACAGGAACTGGCCACAACCCATTCTGTCAACGCAATGTGTACATTCTACAAGGACGTGTTAGAAAATAATGAACAAATACAACCCAAATTAAAACATTTAAAAAAGATATTTACCTCCTTAAAAATTTCTCATCTGGAGATAAATGTGTCAGTCGTCTTCTTTTTCTTGGTTCGCCCGAATCGGTATATTCGTCCATCATGTCGTCGTCCAAAACAGTCAGTTCGGTACCATTACATGATGATTTATCCGTCGTTATGACGATTGTCCGAGGTGTCAGTAGAGACATGTTTCCGTAGTCCGTTAACTTAGCGAGTTGAATTTGGTCAGAATTGTAAATATGTTGAAAACATTATCGTATGAACTTGTATCAAACCATAGCGTATGTTGACTATGTTGGTTATGGTCTCGGTGTGATGATGTGGTAGAAATTCATTGGTCAATAAACACACAGTCAGCATAAACTCGACATTTCATTGGTTAGTTCTATATCTGATGAAAGATATGGGCTAAAAATAAACTATGACGTCATCACCTTTTCGCTCTATACAGTCGATATTTAAAGTCACTGTGAAAGGGTGCGATATATTTTCTGATGCAATGTTTCGCTAAACGCAGAACAGTGATATGATAGCATAGTTCACTCAAAGCTAAAACGTTTAAAATTCAAAACCACCTTGCCTTTAAGAAAATATGAGCTTGAAATTCCTCTTCAAAACGTGTGGTTTACTGTATATATGACTATATTTGGTTTTCATAATAACCATAACCAGTCACTGAGAAGAATATACCAGATTTTTTAGATTCATTTAGTTAATATGGTTTGGAATTTAACACAATAACAAAATATTTTCACTATTCAAATAGACCTAAAATACAGAAATATAAATATTTGGTATTTATAAAAAAAAAATAATAAACAAACAAATAAATAAATTGTCTCTAACCCCATTTGGATCTACATTTTCTAAGCTTGAAGAATTGAAACATAACCGACAAATTTGAATCTACGAACGAGGAAGTTTCATTAAAAATACTAAGAATGGGGAATATTCTTCAAATTATTTGTAATATTTGGATCGGGTCCAAATTTTGATTAAAAACAGATCATGAAAATAAATGAAAACCTCAAATGTATTAATTATACTGATTAGTTTCGTTATTGATTTGATAGAATTCTTATAGAAAATAAGTTTTGCCTATTCTAGTTCAAAAGTTAAAAATTCATTCATTCATCTCGGTCAGGAATGAATAAAAGGATTGATATTATACAAGATAACGGCGTTTAATCTTTATCTGTTCAGATTATCTTTGTGTGCTGACATGACAGGTAGGGCCATCACTTGTTGAATTACAATTTAGGATATTTCTTTATACTACTTAGCCTATCATGGGCGCAGAACGTGGTGGAAACACTTGATTCTATGTCAAATATTAAATTAGGTGATATCTAAGTTATGGAATTTACTATCGAAATGCGCGTAAATGGCGTTTCCAGCGATCTAATTTATCATTTTTTCACTGGCTATTGTTGAACACGATATTCTGTATGGATACCAAACTATTGTTTATTTGCTTATGTAATTCTTTGGAAAACTTGTTCTACGGACCTTCACTGGTATACTCAGGTATGATATGGACCTCCAAAACATTTTTTTTTTGGTCAGTCATACTTTAGTCTCAGAAACGGGATTTTTTTTTTAGCTAAACCAATCAGTAATAGTGTTCACAGCTCACTGTCAAAATTTGAGCCTTCAAATCCACGTGTGTCCAGAATTATCTGCAGTGTTTGAATGTTAAAATGACGACTCGTCATTTTAAGATACTCTGTGATTTATAGAAAAGACATATAAAGAAAAAGAACGTTACATTCCTAGTTTGAGGTCCTTAGAAAGAATTATGCGATTTTCGTACATAGTTTCCGAAGGCTATTTACCTATATTCAAGACTCAAATCAACCCCTGAAAATGACACTTCTGTCTCTTTAAGTAAAATATATATGATTATAGTAACATATTTTCTAATTCAATAAAAAATAATTGAATTAGAATTGAACAGGTTGTAACTTTCCAAGTAATAAATATTATCATTCATATCAGTTAGATTGTTTTTCTGTCAGCTGTTGGCCATTAAAAACTATACACATAATCATAACATTGTGAACGATCAACTGTTTTACTATTTACGATATTGAAAATGTAGCGAAGTATTATCCTTCACTCATTGCACAATGTATAACCTTTACATCTTCAGACCAATAATGAGCAATTAGAAGATACATTTCCAAGTCTTTACAGCCCTCATAACTTAATGTCATACTTGTTTGCATGTGTAATTAGCAAAATAATATGAATTTACGCGAAATAATAAGAGTTACAATATATCGACTCCAAGAATGTTGAAATATACTAAGGAATGACTGACCATCCGTTTGACCAATCGTACCTTAGTCTTAGAATCAGGAATTGTTTAGCTAAGCTAATCAGTAAATAGTGTTCACAGCTCATCGCTGAAATGACGAATCATCCTTTCTTGAGATGTCAGCACCATATAGAAAAGACCTATATAGAAATAGAAAGTGAAATTTGTGCGTGTGCATTTGAAAAAAATATTCAATTTTTGTCCAGTTCTAGTATTCTGAAGGCTGTTTACATATTTGACCCAAATCAACCCCGGAAATGGCGAATCGTGGCCCTTAATACATTCGTATACTTTCATACATATAAACTATGGTAGATGCTTCCTTTGAATTTTATTTCAGATAAAAGACCTTTAATCAGAATAACATATGAAGGCGATGAACTGCCTAAAATACCGAAAACGTTTCGAATTAAACCGAATTTAACTATCAAATTACCAGACTCAATTAAATCATCAATTCCAGGTTAGTTCAACTTCGACAAAAAATTTTTTGTCAAAGTGAAAGGACATTGCACGTATCATTTTAGATATTGTGTCGGTAATTCAACATTTGCATTATGAATTAGACGTATTATGACATAAGTAAAAGAGGTATTTTGTCTTTGAACATTGCACAGATGTATCGAAAAAGTTCATAGCATCTAATTCTGAATACGATTGACCTCCATATGAATCAACACTTTATTTAGTGGCAACTAAGTTTCCACATATTTATGTGTAAAGTCTAATTAGAATTTTAACAGTTTAGAATTGATCGTTAAACGAATCTAGTCCTTTCTTTTAAATCCTTGTCTTCTGCTGCTTTGTAGGAACTCCGCCAAGTAAACTTGTTAACAATAGTCCAGTAACGTCTTATACTAAAGAAGAGGTAATGTCAAATAATCAATACGAAAATCGATTATTTCCCTTATTCAATATGATAAAATGTTTCGTTTCGTCTTCTATTCTATAGTTTACTTCACTTACCATCCATGATCTTATCACATTCTTCTTTATATCCTGTTCAGTTTTGACACATTAGCATCAACATTTGTCATAAATGATGCTAACCAATCAAAACAAACTGTTTAGAATTCCTCACATACAGTAAGAAAATCGTTTGTTGAACAGACCATATGATTGGTTGAATATCAAATTATGAGAACAAGAAATGGACAACAATCTGGTCAGATCGTCGATGTCATGTGGAGTCACTCACAGAGGATACACAAAACGAGAGATTGGTTCCTTATTGTTCCTAACCTCTGCTTTTCACAAACATAACAATCACAATCACTTCAGTTATACTTACGATTCTGCATCTCATCTAGATAAATTCAACGTCTGCTTATAACTGAGGATTGACAGGATTCAGATGAATAGCTAGAACAGGAACAACTGATGTTTTTGACTTCAGTCGTGAACGCTCTATTATAGAGAGAATCAAGCAATTGACAAGATGCAGTCGTTGCTAATCTTGATGCTCTTATTCATAGGGATTTGAAGTTGACCTCAACCTTTCTCTATGGCGCGAATCTGGTCAATGAAAGTGACCACAGTTCGGCTTGATCTGTATTTCTGATCAGAAAAAAGCAGCAATATCATAAAAAATACTCAATGAGTAAAATTTAAAATCTGATTATACATGTAGAAATTTAATTTGGGGAGAAGCTACAGCTAAAATAATCCAATAGATTTATTTTCACCACCTGAGTTACATTTTAACATGATTAAAACTGATTGGTGATAATTAGTCTAATCGATCAGCTCATTCAGAAACTTGGGATCACAGTTGTTTCGGAATTACTCGTATCTCACTGAGAAAAAACCTCAGCAATTTTGGGGGAAAACTGATGAGTTCGAATTCAGAATTTGTATGGATTATTCAGTATCTTGTTGCTTGCCTTTTCGTAAAATTTAAGGTTCAAAAGATATATAGTTCCTGACTTTTGAAACGAAATGTTCTTTCTCACTGGCAAACTGTGCGTGAGTTAGCTTTTGAGCCACTTAAACAAAAGATTGTATGATTGAAATGTCCAGCAATTGGTTGGATATAAGCCAAATTGTATATAATCCTCTGAACTATACTGATATGTTTTCATTATAGGTTTTAAAATGGGGTAATGATGAAGTTCTCAGTTGGTTATCATCAAAATACCTCTATAATGTCATTCCAATATTTGAGGGTAGGTCTTCATGTATTTGGTTAGCCTTTCAAAAACTCAATTTCTTCTGTGCGGTATCACAAGCCCAATACCACTTTGCCACTTGGATTACCCAAGAGTTTGCTTGATCCATCCATTTAATAGTGAGAGAACAGTGAAGGTTAAAACCACTGTCCTATTGCCCATTGCATGGTGGTGTCTTTTTCAGCAGAAATGTAAAAGGTACTAATTTATCCATCGAAATCACGAATTTTGTAAGTGTTTTTCTTCCAGAAAGAGAGATTACAGGTAAACACTTGATAGAAGCAAAGTTAGATTGTTTAGGTTAGTACGTTTTCATTTTCCTCTCAGACTTAAGCAAGATGTTCAAAGAACTTTCCTATTTTAAGGCATATATATGCGAATATATAGCTCTATTTACTGTATACCTTCATTGCATCAAATCTGGTGCATTAAAGTGGAACATAAAACTTCATATAATTTCGTTTCCCTTAACAAGAATGTAATAATCTTAACAAAGAACTATACTGGTTTGTTTGCGTTTGTTATCGTGTCTTACAACCTGTTCTAGCTGGAATAACATAAATCTTTAAACCCTCTAGAGTGGACCAAGTATCAACTGAGTACTGAAGAACGTGAAGAGGTATTATCAGAAGTATATAATCTATTAGAAGATGATTTTTCACAAGGTGGTGGAAACCAGGGTCACAAGCAACTACAAGATGTGTACAACAGAGACAAGTATCGGGCAGCTATAGAATTATCACGTTCCAGAGAAACTGGGAGTAGTTCACCTTCCATTCTTCTTCTTCCATCACCGTGCTCTTCTCCTCAGTTGAGATCTAAACCATCTTTACAGAAGCAAAGGTCAATTTCAGAATCAGATATGGGCACCTTGTTATCACCACTTTCCAGAAAATCGTAAGTGTCTCTCATTTGAAAATCTTATACTATATGGTTTCAGATTCGTTAAACGTATGTCTCCGTTTCTAAAAGTCGTCTGCCGATTCAAGATATCTTATCAGAATCATTTCAATCGAGATGGATGGAAGGAAGGACTAATAGTAACCATAATGTACTGAATTCTCGCAGGTTTCGACAGTCCCGGTCGAAGATCTGCCATAAAATAGAACCAGAGCTATTGGTGGCTACTGAGAGCAACTTAGACATTTTATCGCGTTGACTTCCGATAGAAGGAGTCTCGGTTTCTAACCATTTGACCAAGATCAACATCTGAGATCGTGGTCCATGGTCAGGGATTCGGACCTATATATGACAATGTTGCTACAAAAGAGCAATTGGTCGGATTCTCTCAGATGGCATCAGTCACTATAGCAGTCGTTGGTAACCCAGTTGTTCTTATCTGCTTGTCAATCTATGTCCCCTTGCAAATACATCCACCATGCTTCACCAGTTTCATCCATTTTCTACCTAGTTGGTTTATGAGACTTATTCCTCTTCTCTTTTAATTGTACACAGATCTAATTTACGACCAGAAAGACAAAGAGAACTGTGGAATATATTTAAACCTATGGAACCACTGAGAGTAATTTGTTTACAAGTACAGGATTGTGGTAATAATATTAGTCTTTATCAAGATACACACAAGTTAACAAGAATTAAAGATTCTGTTGAAACTCTTCATCTGCAAGAAAATGACATGTAAGTATTTAAAGCTACTGATGGGGAATTTGGCCGCTATCCGAAATTATTTCGTTATATATTAGCTTTCATGTTGTTAGGCACAACGTTAGTTTTATCTAGTCAGAATAAGTCGATTGTCTGAAGAAGCAAACATTAGACTTGCTATGTCATTGAACAACAATTTATTCAATATGTTGCCGCACATGATTTATGGCGTCCATGTAGCTTTCATATTGCTTGGCACAAGTTTTATGTAGTCAGAATAAGTAGATTGTATGAAGAAGCAAGCATAGACATGGGCTATGCCATTTATTTCCCATGTTGAGTAAAGTCACAATAATCGGGAGTATTTTCTGTTTCTAATTGTACGCCACCAAAGAATAATGTATTGGTTAATTCCATGATAAAACCGAAATGCTGAAAAGAAATCGTCTGTTGTAGAGTTCTGGAGATAAATGGGCAATTATTATGTTCCAAGTCAACCAATTTATCCCGAGTTAACAGAATTTTACACAACTCTAGTAAGACGAGATTAGTTGTGGCTAGACCATTGCAGTACGTGAGTTTATTTATGGATAAATCTCATAACACAGGAAGTTGGGATTCTAAGGAAGGCGCAAAAATATGTAAAAATTGTTCAATGTATATATAAGCTTTAATATGAACAATTTATATATGTACAGTTTACTCTGCCCGTATGTATTAAATATGATGCAGTAATTCACACTTTTCAGAAAAGAGGATGAAGTCTCGGACAAGTTGCAAAATGTTCAAAATCAGGTAGGTTCATCAGTTTTGATTTTATAGGGATTTGGGCAGAACTGTTAGACAACTTGATAATTCTGTGATCCTGAGTCGACCCCAATATCTCATAGAAATGTCACTGAGGTCGATGGTTTCTCTCTCTGATTAATCTTTGGTGTTTCCCCGCCTCAATTGTTTCGAACATGGGTAGTGGTCCGTTACATGTAGTTTTGTTGCTAGAATATATATTTCTGACTCTTATTTGGCCGATGAAATGTTTACTTTTTCTGTCAAAATAATAATACATGTACTAACAGAAACCATAGATAAGTCTTTAGAATTCAGATTAAGATACTGCCACATGGTGGCATCTTAGTGATGAACAACAATGTGTTTTTGTAGTTGTTATTGGCTGAATCCAGATGGCTTGATATGAGAGAGAAGTTAGAATACATGAAAACTAACAGCGATTGGTACAACACAGAAATAAAATCTTCACCAGTAGATCCAGGTAATTCATTATATTTAGACCAAGAGCCCAAGTAACAAGATCATTCATTGCCATTTACGACAGCCTGAAAAAGCAACTAAGATCCATTAAAATTTTTACTCTCGTCTCTATGCATATGGCTAGAGAAAGAGTTTTTCAAAGTATGGCGTCACCGCTCTCCATTATGCAACTTACATTTCTATAGTAACATAATTTATTGGAGTGGATGTGACAGTTACGAACAAATGGACATAAGTTAAAGGGGTTGTCCGATAGCATCAATTTGCACCATTCCAATTTTCAGTCAGACATCTGTGGTTCCTGCAATTCCACAAATAAGTGTTTGATGCTGAAATTTGCTTTATCACACAAGGACTTTGTCGATTAGTGACGTCATCAAACACTTAGTTATAATGGAACTGCAGGAACCACAGACGTCTGATTGGAAATTGTAATGGTGCAAATTGATGCTATCAGTGTCCCCGATACACAAAAAAAGTTTAGAAAACATCTTTACAATCTCTTTAAAATGTTTTTTGTCAGTGTAATGCTGGAAATTTTCCCAGTAAACTTTCCTTCATATTCTTCAAAAATGTTTTTCCATGATCTTAATAGAAGATTTGAGTTTGGTGATAAAGGAAGATGTAGATAAAATGTCCAGTGATTATTTTGATAAGGTTCGTCATTTCTTAATCAATTTCTAAACTGGGATTGATACTGCAAACCAGAGTCCCCTCCAAAAGCCCAAGAATGCATTTTTATTTTGGAAATATGCATTATTTCATTATAAAAATGTAATTGCTTCAAATGAAAGTTCCTTAACCTTGTCTCACTTATGAAAGCCTTACAAGTACATGTTGCAAGGAATCCTAACTTACAATTTAGTTGCATCCTTTAAGAAGATCAATGCAAGGTGAGGGAAGCTTAGACAGAGAATTATAAGGAAGTTAGTAAATACATCCATTTGTATTCCAGCAAGATGTTCTGAAAGTTCTAGCAGAGAAAATGTCAGAGATGAAAAAACAGAAAGAATATTTAGACAGATTGTTGACAGTTGTGATAGACCATGCTCCTTGGATATTATCCAAGATGGCAGAAGATATAGATACCTCACTTATTGACACTGATAAAGAGGAATGGTGCTAATAGAGAAGAATATTGTTACATATTAGTGATACTGAAATGTATCTTGTTTTGTTATATCCAGTTTTGGCTCAGTGAGTTAGACGCAAGCTCGCTAACCTGAAAGTCCTGTCTTCAATCTCAGCATAGATTGAGAAGAGACTTTTGGATTTTTCAACCCGGGATCCCCTTATCGGTGCTGCATGTAGGAGATGACATGCAAAAAGCGAATAGTTGTTTGAATGGGACAATAAACAGGCTGTGTATGTTTAAGATCCTTTAACATTACAAATAGAAAAAGAGAAGGCTAATGCTGCTGTCCGTGTCAAATTTTCCTCATTGCGCACTTCATGGAATTGCCCTTCTTCATTAGCCAAATAAAAGTAGAACATAAACCTGTAATTTTTTTATGTCACCATTTTACTGTATTGTAAGAAACTAAAAATTCCACAAAATGGTGATTTTCGATAAAAAAAAAATAACAGGAGGCCTTAATTTGGGAAAATAATTTTGATTAACAATAAAGTGGTAAATTATGTTTATTAAAGTTAAAATGGATGATTTATTATGAAAAACATAATATAAAGATCTTGTAAAGGGAATATTAAGTATAATTTATAAAATGTCTTACAGCTTGAGCCATGTCATTATTCTTAACAACATGATAACCATTCAAATAAACTTATCTAAATTAAAAATAAAATCAAAATAATATCTGAGATCAACTTGGAAAGGAACAGGAAACAGCTTTAGGATCACAACCAGAATATACTTTTAAAGATGGATTGTCTAAATCACCATTATTTTTATGATTTTTGGAATCAGGTTGACTGGATGGAGGACCTATATCTTTAACACAGGCACATCTTGGTTGTGTTTTACCAGCACGTAAATATTCTCGTGGTAATCCAACCCATGATCTTCTTATACCACCACTAAAAACAAATTTTAAAATTTAAAGTATGGTCTCCACCATTTCCTTACCACATACATACAAAAATCAGTTAAGGTCTTGAAACTGAAGTAATGGTCGAATGCAAGATGGAGGAAGAATTTGTTCATATTCCTTTTCAAATATGTTTTAAAGATCATAAACACAAAAATCGTTTTTATGGGGTGTCCAAATTAATGAAATTAATATTACAGATACTATTTGAAGCTTTTGCAATAGTGACATCACAAAAAGCTTATTTTATGTGGAGGTGCAAGAACCACAGACATCTGACTGAAAATTGAAATGGTGCAAATCTATATTATCGGTGACCCCATTGTAAGGAAATTTACCTCCACTCTGTACACCATATTCGTTTTCCTGTAGCTTCAGTCCATTCTGAATTACAAGGTGGAAATAAACTCATATCTAAGGCATCTAAATCTTTCTCAGCAAAAGCTTCTTTTAAATGATGATTAAAAGCAATAAGAGTTTCAGTTGGCTGTCCTTTTTCATCATAATATTCACCTATAACTTTACCTATACATTAAAAAACAAAAACATGTTGTCATTGTAACAATGATAAACGGCAAAACGAAACCCGAAATAACATTTTGGTGAAACATTAGTAGCAGCAAATGAACTTTTCTCATGAGAAAGTATCAATATAAGTGAGTAAGTATTTCATAATGTAAAGTGATATCAGGTGTCTAGAAGAGTATGCATTTCTGCAAGAATAAGGTTAACCTGCGTTAGCTTAGCTCCATTGTCCACTGAAATCTTATTTCTGAAATTATGTGCAGACCAGAGAAGCCGACATAGGAAAAGTCTAGTCGTTGGGTACAATAAACACCTTGTGCTTTAGGCTGTAGAAGTTAAAGATCCCCTGACAGTTTGAAATTAAAAATTTCCCCCCTTGCACACTACATGGTGTTGTCTGTCTTCATTAGCTCAATCAATTGCAAATCGAATGTAAAACTCCATTTCATTGTGATATTTCTCTGATGATTTGCTGAGTTTATAAGAAGAAACTTAATTTTATAGGAAAAAAAAAAAATAATACCTATATATGTGTAATCTTTATCATATTTCTGTTGCCATTCATGAAGACCCAAGAATTCAGGTAGAGTTAAACCACGAATATCTTCAATCAAACCAGCTTCAGTAAAATCACCAGTAATAAAAGCTCTCGTTCCATCTCGACCTAGAAAATAACAAATATAATATATATATATTTCAAAATTTTCATTGCTATGTGTTTTTGTAATTGTTGATTGGATATCCTAGAAAAGAGTAAGATTATTTTGAATCCCAAAATTAACATTATGAACACGGCTTTAAGAACTTAACTAGGGTCATTTTTCTATGAGGCAAAAATACTTTTATTATCTGTGAAGTCTTTCATCGCAACGCAGACATCAAATATATGATATATTTAGCGGATATCATATTTATATTTTCAATTTTTACACAAAATTTCTTTTTTTATTTCAAATTTTAGGTAAAATTCGGCGTAAGACATTTGCCTCCTTTGCCCTGATGAAATTAACTTAATGAATAATGTGCAATAATAGCCTGAGTAGAATGATAAAAAAGCAGAGGAACTTTAAAAGAATAAATAATTATTTTACCTGAAAATCCTTCATACCCAGCACCTTTACAATAATGCCGTTTTCCCTCAGTTACATCATAAACTTTTCCTAAAATAGCTAAATAAATCGGTGACTCTTTGAACTTTGCAAGTTCATCTTTTGTCAATAATTTCTCTTTAAACCCTAAACCGGCCATTTCTTTGAGTCTTTCGATGTATTCATGTACACAGGTGAGACCAGCTTTGTCTAAAAACTTAATAACTTTATTTCGGTAAGGCTTCAATTCTTCTACTACAAAGAGGACAGAAATTGCCACCACAAAAACTGATAGAAATAGAACAAATTTTGACATTTTGAAAAAGTTTGTATATGCAGCACGAAAGCCAATCCACACGTGTATATTTTATGAGACAGTTGTTAAATTTCCCAGTAGTTATTTGTATTATCTTATTTCTGATCAAATGTTATCAGTCTTATCATAAGTCCATTATTTATCATTTTGTTTACATTTTCATGGGGCGCAGACATCTTGGTTCCGTACACTACGCATAACGAAACTATTATGAAACGACGTATTATAATAGTATAAATAGCAGCGATGGAGGAAAAATCAATGGACATTTTTTGGCTGAATGAGTATGAAATTAAAATATATTGAATTTCTAAATTTTGAATCTACAGATTACAATGTTTAAGCTTATGTGACATACTATTTTTTTTTCGTTTATAACAATTCTCTGCTATACGTGTATCCACACGTGTGAATAATGTTTATTATCTATGGAGTACAGTCAGTGGCATCTTAAATAATGTTAATTTTTTTTAACTCTTTCTAAACATTTCTGGCTTTAGAATAGTTTAAAATATTCCTTTGGAATAGCATTACATAGGGTGTTGTATATGAAGGATTGTCTGTCCAAATTTCATAACATTGACAATCACACTAATCACCAATTGAAATGTAAATCTTTTGACTAAAAAGACTGATCGAGAATAATTTAGTTGTGTAGGCCAAGTCAATGTTTTTTTAACATATGATACTGATAATATTGCCCTGAATTTACGACAGTTTTAGGACACAAACATGAAGTCAAAGACGGTTTCGATTAGTGAAGATAGGCCTATATCTGCAGTTTTGGAGAGTCTTCGAGAAAAAACTGAGGGTACCAACTCTGGGATTGATGAACCATGTAAATGGAAACTGGTAATTCAAAGAGCACCACAGGTTTTGCATCTGCTATCTAAACAAGAGCTTAAAATGCTTGGTAGATATTTAGTTAAAGAAATGGTGGCTAATTTTCAGACACAACCAAAAATTGATGAAGAATCTGAAAAATGTGAGGTGTATTGTTTTGTCCATAGTCCAGAGCTGGAAGATTTTGGAATTGTGTTTTCTTCAATGATACAGAATATTGCGGATGAAGTTCTATCAGGAAAGCACAAAACTTTAAGGAAACTAGTCATTGAGATTTTGAATGGCAGTTCCCAATATAAATGTCCGCCATCTTCACTAGATATAGCTCATCAGGTTTTAGGCAGTCTTCCCTTGGTTGCCCTTAGCGACAGAGACAGAGAGGATATAAGTTATATTTGTATCTCTGTGTTGAAAACGTGCCAAAATTTTTATGTCAAAAAAGGACTTCAAGAGGAGGCAACTGTTTATTTATTAAGAGATTGGTGCCTGTTGTTTGCAAACATTCTAGACTTGAGCCATGAAATGGACAGTGCTAATATTTTCAGCAATATTTCACCAAATTTATATTTTAATTGGCTGATTGATGGCTTTGCAGTGGATTTCAATGAAAAAATGAATCAAACATTTGTAACATTGCTTGAAAAGTCGTGTTATGCACTTTTCATTAATAAAGATGTTCTGTTAAAATCTGAAAGTTTCGCATTCATTAATCAACTAGCTCAAAACTTAATGTTATCAAAATCTAAGAACATTTTAGAGACACGAAAGTGTATAATCTTGAATTTCCTTTTGCAACATCTTATTTGTCATTGGAAAAGTTCTGAAAATATGGTGAAATTTGAAGAAACTTTAAATAGTGTTCGAAATACCTTGAATCAACATCTAAAAAAACAAAGTAAAAATTCAGAATATAACTTTAATGTTGAGTTTCTTCAAGTTGTGTCAACCATTTTGAATTTTGAATGCAAGGAAAATTCAAGATGTGAAAGTGCTAATCCAAATTTAGAATATCTGCTGAACATCATATTATGGACATTAGAAAACAATCAGATTGACAAATCTCATCTTAATTTTATTGGATCTGTGCTCTTGGAGTATCAGCACTTTCGTGAACCATTGAGTAAATCAATGGTTAAAAACATTTGGAATCTCTTGCTTAAAAATGTAACCTCCCAAATTTCTACAGAGGACATGGAAGTAGAAGATGAAGATGTTGAATCAAGAATTTTGAATATCTGTAAAAATCCATATGCATCTGAAATACAAATAGGCGTCAAAAAGATGCCACATGTGACATTTGACTTAGGGCCAGCAGTGTGCAAGATTTTTATACTATTATTTGAATTTTTGGACAGTGAAGATTTGCCAAATATTTTTCATGAAATTCTGAAACATCTGTTGAAAATGTATGATGCAAAACAACTTCTTTTATTCCTTAATTTTTGGAATGAGTTCCTGCCTATGTTGTTTGAAACAAAAGTTAAAGAATTTTTACCAAATACCTTTTGCGCCATTTTGTTTACATGTAATCAGATTGTTGAAGGACTGAAAGAGCATAGTAATGATAAACGTGTTACAACTATTATTATGATGATATTTTCAACTATAAAATCTATATTGTCCTACAACTCCATTCTCCAAGATTCCAATTTGGCATTTCTGTGTTTGAATACCTGTCAACTGGTAGCTAGTGGAATGGTGGCGCCGTTTGAGTTCATAATGCCATTATTTAAAGAGATATGTGATGTATTATTTAGCTTTATTACTTATTATGAAAATCAGGCTAAATATATGTTGCCGACAGTCTTAGACATTAACAAAATGTTAGTAGATGTTATTTTCATGTATGGATACGAAGGTTCCAATGAAAGTTCCAGTACCGATATTCACAGGTTAAGTCAAATTGAAAATTGCGCCAATCTGATGACTCGATTGTTTATGAACTATTCAAAGAAGAAAGAAAGTTTGAGTAAAATTGCCATGTATTTAATTGGTGATTACTGTTGTCGAAGTTTAAAAGTTACGTTACATCCTAGAATTAAGAAAGAAATGATCCAAGGTGTATATATTTTGATGGATATTTGTGATGAACATAGATTTAAACAGCTTAAACGAACTTTGCCCAGTGATGTTCAGTTCCTTTTTGTTAAGCTGTCACAAGATTATCAAAAGTATTACAAATATCAAGGAAAATTTTAATACTGGTATTCATTGCTATTAATATTCACAGATTTGATTTTTTCCTTGAAAAAAATTATAGAAGAATCCATTGTATAAGTTTTTCTTTATTATGCAAAAAGTGTTGTATTTAAATAGTTATAGTGGATAATATAATTGCTAGTTGTTGTTAGTATATTAATATTAATCCATGCAATTCTTTTGAATTATTTCCCTTGATATGAAAGATCATTGGGTTTTACCTGTGTCATCTAATTGGCTTATATACCAGTTTTATTCTTAATGAATCTGTATTGTGTTCTTTATGAACTAAGCGAGTACTTAGCTGTGTAGAATGCATTTCGATATGCATTGAAGGGACAAGTTCACAGCTCTCCATCATATACATAGAATGAGAAATTCCTAGTTTGAAGTGTAATTGAAGGGATTATGCGATTTTCATGCAATTAATGGTGCTTCTGAAGACTATTTACATATTCATAACCCAAATCAACCCCCCGAAAGATGGCTGTCAACTCAAATTTTAATAAGGGAAGATGGGTTTGAAATTAAAATAACAAAATTATATATTTGAGCACAATGCTGTATTCTATATATAAATAATATTATTATTATTAGTGTATGTATATGGCAATATGCAAATGACACGATCTTAGACCAGTTTAAGTGAAAAATTAATAAATAACTCAACCTGTGTATGCACAAAAGATAGAAAAAAAAAAATCAAAGTAGCAGTCATAGCAATACACAAACTGATTATGTTTTAACAATTAGCATTCATCCTTCGAACACTAGCTGTAATTTACATAGAAGACTTAAGAACATCACAAAACAGTCCACATTTCAGACAAGGCAAACAATGGAGTGGATCCAGTTTGGAAGAAAAGTTTAGTAAGAAAAAGCCTTGAATATATTGAAACTTGCCTGTTAAAACATGATATGCAGTTCTGGATATGCGTACAAGACAACCTGATTCTTACATTGTTTTGAGATCATACCTAAAGGGATTATAAAGAGGTTTTTAAATTTTGTATGTGTATTAGGGACACTGATGGCATCATGTGTTCCCGATACACACAAAAAAATTTAGAAAACCGCTTTACATTCCTTTTATGATCACACATAAACCTTCAAGTACTATATCTCCATTGTATATAAACAAAAGATATTTGTGCATATCCTGAGACATTAAACGTAAACAGTCCACTTTATTTGGAGGTACAATAGATACTAATTAAAATTATATAGCCATATTTATTCTATAATCATAACTACCTAAATGTCCTGAAAAATGGACTACTCTTGTTCCATTTTCTGCAAGGTGTACATAATTTTTTTAACTACAAAATATTCAATAAGTAGAATAACAATATATTATCAACAAAAACATTATGCCAGCATTGTGGCGGTATTTGTCATATATATACAAATAACTGGGACTTAACATATAACATACCGGTACCAAATGTGAGGTTAATTTTTTCGATCTTTATAAAAATAAGGATGATATATTTGCAATGACCCAAACCTAAGGGCTGAAACTGCAAATATGTAAACCAAATTTTTCCAAATTGAAAATAAGATAGGATATGTACAACAATAGGATTTCAGACTAAAACATGGACATAATGTAACATTGAAAGGAGCATATATTTTTCGCCTGATTTCAGCAAACTTGCTCAAAATTAAATTGATGGCATAAAAAATATTAAATATTTTAAGCCAATTATTTACACCTTTGCACTAAATAGAAAATTGCACAAAACATAAATTAAGATGTTATTTTAGAAAGCATTACAAATACTTGACTTAATTGAACAATTACAAAAAGAAACTTCTATTCCAGAAATGCTAGAAATTAACGTTAATATAAAAACAGGATGATGTAGGTTATAAGTACTAGTAAGAATAATTTCATTGTCCAGCAATGGATATCAAAAACAACAAAACGTGCAATTACAATTATACAACATTTGAAAATAATTAATAACTCTATAATACATTTTGGCAATTAAATTTCATTTCCCCCACAGTTTGTGAAAAAGTTTAAAGCCTGATAAGATAACTGAATGTTTGTAAGACTCACAATTTTTTTTATTCAACCCTCAAAGCTGTCTCTTTATAACAATACAAACAAAATCAATAAATTATATCATAAATTCTCTGAAACTTGACCATCAATCATTTCACTATTTACAGTTGAATCATTAAATTACGCATTTATAAACAAGTTTATACACATTATACAATGACACATTTCTTCATTTAATTTTCTTTGGATGGATATTTTCCCCTCTGTAAAATTCAGCGCTTTTCGTTGAATGAAGAGTAGAAGTATACATATATTTCATTTTAAATCACATCTATTCTTCATCACACGTATTAAATAGTGGAACGACACTATCTTGCCTTACACAACACAGAAAGCTTCTGTCATCATCATATTTATTAGATTATGAACATATGGAACTGGTTACTCTAATGGTTACACTCTATATTCACACATATACTTGATAAAAGCGCTTGTGAGCAAGCTCAGCACAAAAGTGGATTCAATGTTAAGTTCACCTTTCAAGCAGACCTCCAGAATATATTACGTCCCCCAACATTTTATCAATGTTACCGATAACAAACAGTACTGTTGATTAAAACATTTCTCTGACAGACATTTCTAAATATATGATATAAAAACTGCTTGTCTGGAAGCCAATTCTAAGAACTTACCATGGCCAGATGATGATACTAATAACTATATAATTTGATAATTAGTTGCCAATCACAAGCATGCGGAAACTGAAACATCCGATTAATGGGTCATTTTACATATCATAATACATATTCCGTTCCAGTAAAAAGCATGAAGATGTCTAGGTTTTGAGATTATCAGCAACCGGTTTAACAGGTATCTACTCTGTGTACAAAAATCAAGTTTTTTTTTTAACATAATAAACCTTCTATATGACAGACAATCAAATCAACATTCTAGGCATGTGCAGATACTCAAATTCAATGTGAAAATCTTAACCTTTTCAACCCTAGCTGTCAGAACTAAGTGACATCACACAACCATAACGTCATACACTTTCACTTGTATCACATGATGTTTTATTTCATTTACACTCAGGGTTTGAAGGGTTACCAATAATGTGTTTTTCACAAACAACACCTCTCTGAAATGCTTCCTGTCATCAGCTCTTATGTCTGTTGTGATGAGAACATTAGTTGAACTATTTCAGGAACAGTAATATCTATGTCAATATCCAATGGTTTGATCTCTACAGCATTGTTTTTATCACGTATTTGATTCCACTGTTGTAAGATATTAGAGTAATGACTAGTTTTGTTGATATCATTTAAATTACTATAGAGTCTTAATAAGCCACGATAATCATATTCTAAACCACTATATCCTTCACCAAATAACTTCTTTCCTGTAAAAATATCCACACAAAATTGGAAGGTTTGTTAAATAGTTTAGACTATATTTGTGCATGTATTGTCAATTACTGACAGTGTTTGTGAACATTTTACATCGCCAACAGGCTTGTTAATTATAATTCAAATAGTATTTACTTTATTAGTGCATGACTATCTGAATTCTGTGTTAGTTAAATCCATAACTTAAATAAGAACTTATAAATTCTTTACATACCAATAGCAATTGATCGAAGGTAAAGTTTTTCAGCTTCATCAAATTTGGCCATATCATAATTATATAAAGAGGCTAGATGACCAACTGATAGAGATACTTCATAATCATCAGGACCTAATAATCTCTCTTTAATATCTATAGCTTTTAGATGCATTTCTTCTGCTTCCTGCAATGATAATGATTCAGCATTCTATTAAAAAAAACAAGTACTAATGAACTGAACACCAAAATGAAGGTAAAAACAAAAACCTAGTGTTACTATTTATATGGTTACCACTGTGTGCATACTTTTGTCAGTAATGTTACCAATTTATATGGTTACCACTGTGTGCATACTTTTGTCAGTAACGTTACCATTTATATGGTTACCCCTGTGTGCATACTTTTGTCAGTAATGTTACCATTTATATGGTTACCACTGTGCATACTTTTGTCAGTAATGTTACCATTTATATGGTTACCCCTGTGTGCATACTTTTGTCAGTAATGTTACCATTTATATGGTTACCACTGTGTGCATACTTTTGTCAGTAACGTTATCATTTATATGGTTACCCCTGTGTGCATACTTTTGTCAGTAATGTTACCATTTATATGGTTACCCCTGTGTGCATACTTTTCTCAGTAATGTTACCATTTATATGGTTACCCCTGTGTGCATACTTTTGTCAGTAATGTTACTATTTATATGGTTACCACTGTGTGCATACTTTTGTCAGTAACGTTACCATTTATATGGTTACCACTGTGTGCATACTTTTGTCAGTAACTTGAATTTTATCATTTTAGGGGGGAAAAGTAGTGGGTTCTAATCTCATTAATAATCTTGGAAGTATCATTGCCATGAGGCCAACTGGTAGAAAGATCTTTAGGAACCTAAGTTGTCATCTTTGTGATAATGGTTTCTGTCTTTCTTTCCTTTGAATCACCATTACACTGTGTTTAGAAACTGTAATAAAAACAAGCTATAATGAAGTTTACCTGATATCGTTGCATGGATTGATAGAGACGACCTAAATTACCATAATGTTTGGCTGTTTGAACATTATCTTCACCAAAAGCTTTTATAGCCAACTCTAAGGATTGAAGATGTAATTCTTGAGCTTCTTGTAATAACTTGGCTTCTGTTTCCTTATGGTGACTATCTATAGCTATTTCTTCCAGAATCAGAGCTAAAAATAAAAATGTAATGAAAAAAACTTTGATTCAAGACCAAAAGTGTCTTCAGTTTATTACACCGCATGGTTGATTCCCTCAAATGTTTTTAGATGTTTACTTAGTCATGTACCTCTAAAGCCATCATCACAATGTCAAGCTATTACAAACTGTGTCTTATAGCTTATAACACTTGTCATCTTTCCTGTATCACAGCAAAATTTAGACAACTACAAAATATCATACCTTTAACTCGTTTAGAAGATGATAATAATAAATGTTGCTCTGGTAATATATCACATAATATCTCAATAGCTTTTTGAGCATGATCTCTGAAAGTATTATAACATTACATTGTAGAACTGTGAAACATTGCACCAACATACGATCAGGCTCCATGACCACAAAATATGTCTCATGCTTAGCTTGATTTTAAATAAGTTCATGATGTCACTCCATTTGAAGATTAATGTGATAATACCAGATAATAGAAAAAAAAACTAAATATGTTTCTGGTCTCTGGCAACTGATTTACGATAAAGATTGTGAAACAAAAAATTGTCTATAATAAAAAAAAAAAAAAAAAAAAAAAAAAAGAAACATTTTGCCCTAAGCAATAAGTTTTATATATTTTTTCTTTGATACAATCAGTACTGTTCCTGTAATAACTGCTACAAATTTGAATAAAAAAATGTTTGTGGCCCAGGGACCTGTAGCAATAACTAAATTAATGTAGATAAAGCCATTTTTTCAAAACCATTCAGAAAGAGTCTACAATTATATCAAGGGACTACTCCAAAAAAACATAACTTTGATAAAATTTCAGACTTTTAAAAATACAGTAATCTAATTGATTAATCAAACTTTGTTCAATATCAAATATGATTGTCAAATCAGATGAATAAAAGTAAAGTTTTGATGCAGAATAAATCATCAGAGCTTGGAATGAATTAAATCTTACTTGGCATCAGTAAATTTTCCTGAACTATATTCATTAACATAACAAGCATAGGCTAAATCTTCATGAGATGTAGCTACAAATAAATTCTTTCCACCAAATACAGACTGACGAATATCTAGAGCCATCTATATAATAAACCAAAAACATTCATAAACAAATAATATATGAAAATAACAATGATACCTGATAAACTTGTACAGTATATAAAATAACTATAGGTACGTAATTAACTTGTACATTGTACAGTATACAATATAATTATGGGCACCTGATAAACTTGTACAGTATATAAAATAACTATAGGTACGTAATTAACTTGTGCAGTGTACAGTATATAATATAATTATGGGTACCTGATAAACTTGTACAGTATATAAAATAACTATAGGTACGTAATTAACTTGTACATTGTACAGTATACAATATAATTATGGGCACCTGATAAACTTGTACAGTATATAAAATAACTATAGGTACGTAATTAACTTGTGCAGTGTACAGTATATAATATAATTATGGGCACCTGATAAACTTGTACAGTATATAAAATAACTATAGGTGATAAACTTGTACAGTATATAAAATAATTATGGGTACGTAATTAACTTGTACATTGTACAGTATATAATATAATTATGGGCACCTGATAAACTTGTACAGTATATAAAATAATTATGGGTACCTGATAAACTTGTACAGTATATAAAATAATTATGGGTACCTGATAAACTTGTACAGTATATAAAATAATTATGGGTACCTGATAAACTTGTACAGTTATAATATAATTATGGGTACCTGATAAACTTGTACAGTTATAATATAATTATGGGTACCTGATAAACTTGTACAGTATATAATATAATTATGGGTACCTGATAAACTTGTACAGTATATAATATAATTATGGGTACCTGATAAACTTGTACAGTGTACAGTATATAAAATAATTATGGGTACCTGATAAACTTGTACAGTGTACAGTATATAAAATAATTATGGGTACCTGATAAACTTGTACAGTATATAAAATAATTATGGGTACCTGATAAACTTGTACAGCAGCTGATATTGAGTCTATGTTGAGAAGAAAAAATCCATAATCTAACAAAGCATCAGAATATTTGGGATGTTTAGTACCAAAATGTTCTCTGAAATAACAAATGGAAACCAAATGAATATGAATTCATCACAAAATTAATAGTTAATCTTTTTAACAAAAATATCACAACATTCTGACTTGTAAGGGATGTACACTCCCTTAAAAAACTTCACTAACTTTGAGTCAACCTATACATATTTAAATATATTTTCAAGTACAAATATGAGGAAAGTAGAAAATTCTTTGAAAATTAAATTTACCAACACACAAAGTCTGTTACTAATATAAACAACCGAATTTAATCCAATCATTTCATCAAATCTTTGTGCAACTCTGATATGTGATCTGTTGCAGTGTGTTAGCAGAACTTTCACATTGGGCATTGTTTATCGATCAATTGTCAGAGAAAAAGGAATTGGGATTTTAGGAAATGAATATACAAGTAGTAAGGAGTTGCAGTTAACTATGTCTAATAAATAAGATATATTTACTGTATTTACCTGGCATATAATACAGCATGTTTAATCAATAGACCAGCTTTTTCAAATTCTCTTTTAACAACACAAGCCTATAATATTGAAACACTTACTTAACTATAAGACAGGACAAAATACTTTAAAACATTCATTTTAGGACAAAATATCCACTACATACAATAAATACGAAAAAGTTTAAAACTTAAAGAAACTGAATACTAGTTTGGAATAGAATTCCAAAAATTAAATGCAATGTCATACTGTGATCTTAAGATATTTATCTGTGTCAAGAGTTATCTCCCTTGGGAGAGTAGATGAAGGCCTGCATAAATTTGGAAATTAAAAAAAAATTCTTTAAGTTTTCTTTATGTTTGTATCAAAGCAAACCCGGAGAACTTATTTTTTCACTGGGCAGCAACTTACAACAATTGTGCCCGTCTCTAAGCAGATAAATTATCGTGCAAATATGTAAAAAAATGTACACATACCAATACCAATAAGAAAGACAATTTCAACAGTTTTTTTAAACTCTTGTGGAAAGAAGTTGTAATAACCCACCTTAGAACATTGCCTTAAAACATCTACAACAGCTTTATGAGATAGAGATGTTGTTATTTCTGCTAATGCCAATGTACAATTATGGAAAGCCTGAAAATGAATTTTATCATTATGTAATTTGAGTTTGGTTAATATTACAAATCAATCTAGTTCCAAGCATGCTGTATATTTTACAATATTTAATGTACAGTCGAGTAACCTAATTTCGTGGAAACCTATTATTCGTGGATTTCCGAAAATGATTAATAATTTACATGAGTGACCTTGCGCTACCTCCGCATTAGTTTGTTTTAATAAACATGGGTTTTCTGTACAATATCAGCTAGTAGAGTGAATCCAGTAGTTTCAAGCAAGGTAAAATGTATTAATGTATACTTTGACAAATACAAAATGGCGGATTTCAGTTATTACCAAACGTCACCATTTTTTATCAGCTGAATTTCCTTATAATCCCTAGCGGTAATCGAATTCCAAGTGTCGCCTGCTAGAATATATTCCAACGAATGAAGTCACGTGATCAACTAGCGGATTCCGTGTCAGAAGAAAATTTCTATGGAACACAAAGTGGACCATATTCTTATGTTGTTTCAGTGACTTTTATCAATAAATCACGCTACGTATCTTATTTTGTCAGTCACTATTTTTTTTTTAAATCGTGGTTCTTTGAAGGAATTGTCACTAGTTATAATGAATTGATATTAAAGATAAATACTAAGAGAAGTTAATTATACCACCCGGTATCCATACAACGTGTTTTTATAGACTTATTTATAGATCAAACATTGTACACGAAAATAGGTGACACATTCTGCCGCCGTTACCGAGTTGGTTGCTCATGAAATATGGGTCAAAGTGAAGGATTCATAAAGAAAATCGAAATGAACCAATTTTTATTATTTTGTAGAATATCTGAGGAAACATCTAAGACATAAAAAAATCATTTTTAATTTTGACGAAATTAGGTGTTGAATCCTTATATCCACGAAAATAGGTTACACCACTGTAATAAAACTTTCATGGGTACATAATTGCAAGCAGATTGAGAAAATTAATATTAACAAAAACAATCAGATGCTTATTAGTACAATTATCAGTATCAACCAATAATTATTTAGTTTAATGGATATATTGTCTTATATAGATTCTATTCTTTACTCATGACACCTGGTAAGTCCAATTGATGAATATATACACTTATCTAAATTTTAAATTAAATTTATATTTTATATCTGTTCTAAGATGTAGTATTTTTTAAGGAATAAACTCATGTGTCTTACCTCATCATAATGACTTTTAGCAAATAATAGTGTGGAATACTCTGTATATAATGTTGCTTTACTGACTGTTATACCCATTGTTTTTAATTTCTCCACTAATTTAAATGCATTAATACACGTTCTCTCAGCTACATCATATTTACAGTTAGCATTCTGTACATGTAATAACCTACAAATGAAATTAACGTATCAACAAAACTGTCAGACATATTGGAGCTCCAATCAGACATGACTGGCAAATACTGATATTTCAACAGCCCTGCAGAATTCTTTATCCCATTTATGAAAAAAAGATATAAAAGTGGAGCAATACCTAACACTACATTCTAGAGCTCGACATAATGAGCCTTGAGTTGTATCTACTTGACAGATTTCTAAACAGGCTTTATAAACTTTCTCACTATCATCAAACCAACCAGCATCACTCAGAAACCCACCTAAATAGACAAATATTGTAAATTATTAAATAAAAGTTTTGCTTTCAATTGACTTTTGGTCATATGTTAAACTGAACCTTTCCTTTCAACCAGCTGGTCTTTGGCTTGATTATCTGTTCCCTTTCACATTTGGATTAAATAAGCTTTCTGAATGAAATATTGAAGAATTATATTTCATTTGACACCTAAGTTTATATCTGCCCTAACTTTTCATTTTTTACTTTTACTATGATAACATTTGACTAATAACGTAATATCACTTGTTGTGACATACCACCTACCTAGAGTAAAACCTAACTGTAACATTCGAACTCGCTTCACTTGGTCTTTAATAACATCTTCACTAATCTGTACAGAAAATGCCTCAGCCAGTGTTTCTGATATCTTAACACCGTGATCCATTAAAGCTTGAAAGCAATGATGTAACAAATACCTGTAAAACATTTAATAGAATTTCAAAGATCTATATTGTTCATGCATTTTCTAGATTGTTACGTATCAGGACTACATCTGATCATTCTGTAGTGCTAGATCTTCCAATTTCTCTACAAACAATGGACATACAAACAGATCTGTATATTATAAACATAAACATGCATAATCCAAATAAACTAAATGAAGCACTTGACACAAAAGTGATTATCATGGCTTAAATTATGTATGTGTTAAAATGGCTAAAATCAAATACCCAGAGGGTACTTAAAGCGTGATACTAGCCCTACTTTCAATAGAACTTCCCATAACTAATGTATGATATTGAACCACAGTAAAGTTAATAGCACAAAATATATAACTATTCGTTTCAACTTACCTTTTGTCATTAACCTTTAATGCCTTTGCAAATGTATCTATATCTGAAAATTCCAATCCAAGCTGGCACAATCTTCCCTTATTATAAAGCTGCAAGTAGATGAAGTCCATAATATTTTTACCGTACTTACATAGATAGAGCTTAACTGAAGTGCAAAGTAAATGTTAGCAGCAACAATTCAATTCAATATTTATGATAAACATACAAAAAAAGTTACATGGACTTGATCAACACCCATAGACAATAATTAGGCTACATTCCAGTTGGCATTGCCATTAGTATTAGACCTGACCTATCCTCCTCTGACTCTATGAAGAAGAAGACCCACTTTATTTATGTGCAGAATATTAACCTATGATGAATCCTTATAAACATAATATACAATGGCTCAGCCTATAAATAGACTAATAGGATCTTCAGTCAATAAAATTCACCTTAACAGGAAAATGGGGCAGGTAAAACGTCCAAATGAATTGAGAAAGTCAATGAATCGAATAGCAAAATGATTACATTCAATTGTATGTTTTTGGTATACAAGATCATTTACACTCACTTTGTAATATATATCAAATTGTACATCTTCTTGTAAACATTTTATATCGCGACGGTGTCGTCCATATGTTGCGACAATTGCAGAAATTGCAGTATTATAGAGGGAATCGGGAACCCACTCAAGTTTACAAGCAGTAGCCATGTTGGATTATTATTTACTGACGTCATGAATGGATGGTAACTCAAATTGGCTCAGACCACACCGATCCAACATTGACTTTCCCTTCAAACAAAATCAAATAAAAAAAACCCATCATACTAGACTCCAAGACAATTTAATTTTCTTTTACCAGAATTTATCTTGGAGTGGGTATACACACAGCCGTAGTCACTTTGTTGGAGTTGGAGGTGCTCATTTCCACACTAATTTTTTCATTACCGGTACGCAAAACACAGTTCTCTGCTCTGGCCAATTTGCAAAGCACATTCATATCTTTGCTGTGATCTTGAACATTTAAGACCAAAAAATTTGTGTTGAGAAGATGTGCAATGAAGTACTCTTTTATTTCCTAAATGGACATCATATCTGATGACAAGCTATAGGCCTATATAACACTTTCCTTTTCTGGGCTAACAGGTCCTCAGTTTGCTTTGAAAATATATAAATTTACCCCAACCCTCAACAGCCCCAAATCTAGCTTAAGGTCTTGGTGAACTTGTCGTTTCGCACTTGCGCTGTTATTTTGAAGTCATTGGTTCAAGTCCCAGTTTATTTTTAGTTCTAAAACCCTGTCTAAAATCTTGCAGGCTATCTAATGGTGTCAACAATGGATAGGCTATGTATAGTTACCCCAATTGCACTTGCCTTTTTCTTTTACATTTAACCCCAAAGGAAGCAATTTGCAAAAATTCCCCCCCCCCCCTCCCCCCCCCCCATTTTGTATTGAGAAGAAGCACAACAGCCACCTTTATCTTTATCCATATTCAAAAGAAAATCCTGACAACCCAATTTTCATAGTCTAGCTCTGTTCTTTAATTCAGGAATTCATTTAAAAAAACAAAATGGCTATATAAAATATAACTTTATTTGTTTTTAGATATACTAGTATTCATCATTCTAAAATTGAACAAAATATTATAAGATCCCTTTCTTGGAATTCTTTAAATGCTCCAAAATGCAGAGTCAACAAATACATAATTTCTTTCCTGTGAGGAGAGCTCTCATGGATTTCACAACATAATCAAAGAACAATGATTAAAACAAATCACAAATTAGCCAAACCTGGGTATAGAGTATTGTTAAAAGATACACATCTCAGGGAGGGGGGGGGGGAGGAATTGTACTCCTTATCAGACCACTAATGAAGAAACCCTTCTATATAAAATAGAGATATCACAGGTGTGGAAAAAATCAATAAAAACTTGTAATAAACCAATATAAATCTTTTATACTTCCTAAATTCCAGATAGTAGAGATTTTTTTAAATGGGGATCAATGCTATTTTAGGCAATTTAACGGGATTTTTAAGAGGATTTCTAAACTTTTTATGTGAATTGAGAACAGTGATATCATTGATTTGTACCATTCCAGTTTTCAATCCCACTTCAGTAGTTCTTGGAATTCCACTAAATCTAAGCCTTTTATGACGTCACTATCGCAAAAGCTTCTATATAATCAATAGAACTAACTCTAATTAAAATTTGTAAGGGTCTAATCTGAAACATTCATAGAATGACATTAGACCAAACTTTCGTTCCATTTTTTATTAGCTTTTAATATAATATAGCCACTTCAGTTAGGGTCTAAAGACAGTCCTCTTGAACGTTTGGCAAATTAACCTTTTGACCTAACCTGATTAACACCCAGTTATAAAATGCCAGTGTTGGAGAGGGTAGAAGACCCTTACTGAGGTGGATATCAAAAATAAAAGCCACTAAAAAAGCAGACTGAAAGATTGGTCTAATTTTAATTAGACTAATGCTTTAACAATTAGTAAAACTTTCAAAATAATCATATTTAAATTTAAATACCCTAGACTACAGGGCCTCATGAAAATAGAAATGATTTTGAATAGTAAAAAACACTATCTTATAGAATGTATAAAAATAAAATAGATGTCTCGGATTCCAAAAATATTTAATATGATCTTATTTAAGTTTTTGCCTTTGTTGGGCTCTGCCTCTGCACAAACATGCCAATGAAATGAGACATGATGACACATAAGTACCAAACTTGATTTAAAATATACCAGGCCCCCCCGTTTCACTAAACTTCTTAAGTCCAAACTTTTCTTAATTCTGTCTTACGTAAGAAATAATCCATAATTTGCGTTTCACTAAAACTCTTATATTAAGAAATTTTGGCGTTTTGAGAACTTATTAATATCAAAGCATTTAATATTTTTGCAATTTCCCTGCATAATTTTCCTTATTTTTGCTAATATGACCTGTCAATTTTCGACTGAGATGACGCTTCAAAATTTAATCACCATTTTCCCGAAAAATTAGCAAATTTTCACCACTATAGACCTTTATAAAGTATTTAGGGGACTTAAAAAGTCTAATGAAATATATTTCTTTTTTGTTAATTTATGAAATAAAGATGTAAATTCAACAAGACAATGCTGTGGACGACATGAGTAAATCCTTCGCAGCTAAGATCTTCGTAAGTTTGTTTGTGAAACACACGTAAAAATTTGCGTAAGATGATCGTAAGTCTAATATTTTGGTGTAAACGGGGGCCAGATACTCATACTGGTACTATTTGGTAAGAACAGGTGTGCATTATACTCGTAATTATATGGTACATAAAGTTTGTATTTACCCTGAATGCTAATTGTTATTTATTATAGGTAGGGACTATAAGTATTTTTGTCTGGTTGTTATGCGTAGATATAGTAAGCAATGATTCGAATACCAAATAACATGATAAATAATGATGAGATATAACAATGGAATGGAATGGTAACTGTAACTTCCTCTAAGATCATTTTTAATGTTACAACATCTGTGGTGTTACTATTACACTGGGGAAAGTCTAACAATGTTACATTAGCACACCTAAAATATAAAACCAGAGAAATATTTTAAAACATTTACAGTCGCTAAGATATTTTGGTTTGGTTTGTATCCTTATTATTCTGAAGGTTTCAACTAAACTTATCAAGCCTCTATAAGGCCCAACAATAAAAAGAGACAGGTTCGCCTTTATTTGACCAATTGTACCTTAGTTTCAGAAACAGGAATTTTTTAGCTAACGCTAAGCTAATCAGTAATAGTGTTCACAGCTCACTGTCACAATTTGAGCCCTCAATTCCATATCTTTCCAAAATTATCCGCGTTAGAAAGTTTAAAAGACGAGTTGTCTTTTCTTGAGACATCTGCCATTTTACAGAAAAAGAAAATGAAATTCTTAGTTTGAGATATTTTTGAAGGAATTATGTGATTTTCATACATTTCTATTCCTTTTTACTTACATGATATTTTCTGTATCTGACATTTCTAGAATTGTAATGGCAGCAAATGGATAATGTAAAAATGAAAAATATTTCAACCATGACAACCAAGAAGGAAATTTTTGACTGTAGTAACCACCTATAATAAAGAAAGAAATATCATATTTAAAATCTGAAACGGTTATCCATAAAATATTAAATTTCATTGTAACTTAATGCATCTGAACTCAATTCAAAGAAAACAAAATTTTTAACTTCCAATTTTGCAATTTAGATTTTTCTGTGGGGTCTAGAACCAATGCATATTAGAAAATAATACGATCACAAAAGATTTTACATCCAGACTTGACTTGAACACAACAATTAAACTTTAATGCAATATCTTTCTTATGCATACTTTAATGCATATTATTTTAAAATAGACCAAAAATATTTTGGCATTTTGGGATATTTCACAAATAAACAAAATTCATTGTAATGGACCAAGGCACAGATTTTATGATATTTCATACTGAGATTGATTGGGCAACTGGGATCTGAAATCTGATTTAAGCAAGCATAAAATTTAAATTCAATACCCTTTTTCATGGCAGGATTGTTATGTTTATTACATGAAACAAGATTGATATTTCTTAAAATGGAGTTAGTTGTTTATTTGAAATCAACTCACCAAATATTAAAGAACACAGCATTAGGGTAGTTGAAGTTGTCATGGCTGTTTGAAAGTTTCTAAATGAAGCTCCAATTACAAAACCCATTCCCTGAAACAGATAAATATGATATAAACAAGGTGAAAGTAGATATACAATGAGCCATCCAATATTTTTCAGCTTAAAAGGATTATAAAGATGATTTTTAAAAATTTGTATGTGTGTTGGAGACACAGATGGCATCAATTTGCAAATATTGCTGTAACTAATCAAAGGTGCAAAACTCTTCGAAAACCATTCATTTAAGTATTTCTGGTAACAACTACAAATCTGTTGCCATGACAACAACTAAAGAGTAATCTGAAGTAATGTTCAGATATATAATGTCAGAGACAATTGAAACTGAGGGTTAAATGTCCCATATCGATTCAAGTTAACAAACTCTCTGAAATTCAAATGAAGAAAATATTTACCTGAGCAACTAGAGACGACACTAGAACAATTGCTGCAGTAGCAAAGAATTCAGGAACACCTTTAAAACCAGCCATCCAATAACTGATAGTTACAAATGCAACTGGCATAATTGTCATTAAAGGTAATTCACTACAAGATTTAGCTAAATAGTAAGCAAGTAATCTGTATGAACCGGCAGCTCTTTCTTTCATCATTATAGTTCTTTCTTTGGGAACTGAAAAAAAACCCAAATCATTTAACATCATTCTATCTGTTATGTGAATTGGATCTAGCTATTTAGTTTTACAAACTTCAGCTACCTGTATTACTTTTCAGAACAAAAAAATCAATGTCTGGCATATTTACAAACAGCTTAAACTAGAGTAAATTAATTGAACATTCTAGACCTCATCATTCTGGATGATGACTAATATCATGTAATGTAAAGTGTGATTATATTTAGTTGCATGCCATCCGAAAAAGGATTTAAAAATACTACAGGTAGCTGCAAAATAATTTGTTCTGACTTGTTCTAATTATGTGAATATTCTGTTAAATAACTCATTAATAATGACATTAAAATAAATGAATACTTCATAATTTACATGTACCAATGTTTTCCCCCTAGTCTCCCACATAATTAGGGCTTAGATTATAATCAAATTCAGAATTCGTGACCAATTTCATTATTTGCAACCATACTCAACTGGTAATCACTATGGTGTGAAGGAACTTTAACAGAAAATTCTAACTTACAGCATAAAATAGCATCAGTGATTGGGGTAAATGCCCAGAAAACTACAACGAAGAATACCTGAAACAGAAAAAAGCAGGACCTGATGTAGTTAATAGCCTATAGGAGCTGTAGTGGTTCAGTGAGTTAGATGCTAGCTTGCTATTCTGAAGGTCCAGGCTTCATCCAGGGCCAGATAATACCTTTAGATTTTCAAGCTGTTAGTGATGCATCTCAGAGGGGCAGACATTGAAAAAGCATCAAATTGAGATATAGGAACTATTGGATGTATCTAAAAGCAGGTATCAGAAATAAAGGAATTATTAGCACGCCATAGCCAAGTATAGTAAATGATATTTTTGTAGCTGGTCTAAAAGTTCCTACTGAATATGTGAATCTGTCTATTATTAAATCCTTACAAATCCCATTCTGTCTCTAATAGTTGAATATGTTCTGTCTACTTGAAACCACATCAAACCACAGGCCAATGACAGGATTAAGTTCATTGTGACAGCATACTTCGATAAAAAACGACTTTTTGATTCTTTGACCTTCAAAATATCTCGAACTAAAAATTTCTTATCCTATTTCTAATGATGTCTTTTCTATATATTTTGATATCATAAAAAATATACCTAAGACTTTTATATTGGTTAAAGCTATATCTTCCATAGCATTGGACTGAAAATCTAAAGTACCATTGGTCTTCTTACTATCTCCTACTGTATGTTCTGATTGGTCATCTTTATATGTTAAGTACTGTTTTTCACCTCTAAATGATAAATAATCCTTGGTTTAAAACAAAACAAGAAATCTTTATTCAAACCTGTAACCATACCATTAAAAATTGTCGTAATAACCCTTTGACTTAACCGTGATGACCTCTACTTTAACCAATCAACTTCTGCCCTCTCCAGCGCTGGGATTTTTTTACAGAGTGAAGGAATTTGATTGGTTAACGAATATTTGGTCTTATTCTAATTAGGCTGGCTGGCAAAGCAAAACAAGTCACAGTGACTCAAACTTTAAAACCGAGAGCTTAAATTGCTCTATAATGATTATCACAACTTGAAAAAGCATGTTAGGCTTCCAAGAATAAAAACAAGTTTTGAAATTTGTGTAACTGTGACTCATGTTGCTGTCAGAGTGTATCTTAGAGATTAGGTAAAAATTCAAAAAATTGCAACATACTGTTTCTCCTTCCAAGCATTAATGATTTTCTGTTTTGTTTCATTATCTCTCTTTGCTAGCTCTACTAAAATAAAAAACAAAATTGATTTTTCTTTAACTTATTTTCTTTAACTTTGATTTAACTTGGGTTATTTGTTTCAGTTTATTAACTTGGATGTTTGAGTTGACTAACTGGAGTGTTTGTGTTGACTAGATTGTGTGTTTGAGTTAACTGACCTGTGTTTTTGATTTAACTGACCTGAGTGTTTGATTTGATTAACATAGGTGTTTGATTTTACTTATCTAGGTGTTAGAGTTAACTGGCCTAGGTGTTAGAGTTGATTAACCTGAATGTTAGAGTTGACAAACTTGAGCATTTGAGTTAACTAACTAGATGATTAAGATGACTGAGGTGTTGAGTTGACAAATTTCGGTGTTTAAGATGACTAAATGAGGTGTTAAGTTGACTTACTTCAGTGTTTAAGATGACTATCTGAGGTGTTTGAGTTGAATAATTTGGGTATTTGAGTTGACATATTCACTATCTTCATATACTTTCAAACATATTAAATACTTACACATAAAGTCAGCTGGATTATAATGTTCATCACAAACTAAATCAATATTTTTAAAAAACTCTAAAGCATCATGTGGTGATCCATTATAAGCTACCTGTAATATATAATAGCTCATTTACATTTTCCCACATTAGAGCTCTCTTATTCATATCATTCAATAATCACATTCCCTTTTCGGCCTTGCTGACATGCATTAACAAAAAGGAAAAATCTGGGTGAACGTGAAGGTAGACATGTGAATATAACATATTATGTCTATTAGCAAATCATATCATAGTTTGCAGTCGTCGTGGTATCCCACAAAGCAATATAAAGAAGTCCTACCTGACCATCTGTTAATAATAAGAGATTAGAAAAGAGATGATATATTTGGCTGGATGGTTGATGTATGGTAACAATGATAGCTTTATTAGCTTTCTGAGCATAATCTGTCATCTGAACCATTAAACTATAAGCTGTACTAGAATCTAAACCTGATGTAGGCTCCTAAAATAATAATTAAACAGTACTCATACTGATTTTTACTATCCTCATATCCTTAAAGAGATTGTGAAGAGGTCTAATAATCTTTTATGTGTATCTGGGACACTGATAGCAATGATTTGCACAGTCAAATTTTCAGTCAGACGTCTGAGTGTTTGATGATGTCACTATCACAAAATCTGTTTATGTAATATAAGGTCCTATGTGATAGAGACAACATAAAATGCTTAGTTTTAGTTGAATTGTGAGAACCACAGACGTCCTGACTAAAGTTTGGAATACAAATCAAAAGTTTAGAAAACCTCTTTACAATAACTTTAAGTGTTTAAAGTAAAATTGTTTTAGTGACTGACCGATCAGATGACCTATATTTTTACCAACAAAAGGCATTCTAAACACTGGGGATTCCAAATAGTCCTCAAATAATCACCAAAATACGTTTTACAGTCAAGACCATGAAAACAGAATTTCCCATGACAACTTACATCTAATAACATAACATGGGGATTGGTCAATAATTCACAACCTATACTTAATCTTTTCTTTTCACCACCAGATAATCCATGTTCAAACATTCCACCAATCACTAGAAAAAATAATAACATGCAAATAATTTTGTAATATCCATTCTAAAAAAATGACAAGACTCCCGAATCTGGGGGTACAAATAATGCAGGGACAACTGTCAGAGCTGAATTCAAATCCAGCAACTCTGTACAAGCCTCTAAGTTGCAAGCCTTTCATGGGGAAAGATTTCCTATTACTAATCTCAGTAACTGACCAATCAGTATTAGTTTTGTAAAAATATGTAAATTTTACACAATTGATCAGCATAACATCCGAAAGTCTTGCTACAATTCCATGTCTTATTATTACACTTTTTAATAATTCTGTGACCCAATTTTATACGGCCCTATATTTTAGAAGGCATTCTGGGATTGTCCCTGACGGTATGTTCTTTTCAAATTTATCATAATAAATGTCATAAGCATACAATTACTTTTTATAGATACAACATGTTTTTATCAAAAAAAGAGAAACCAAATTTAGTGATTAAATTGCATAGCTTTGTGTTATTTTCATTTGACACTGTTACTACATTCCTTTACAGTAAATTATGGACCGCGTGTTTAGGGGAATTCCCTTAAGTGTTCAGATTTTCATTTTGTATCGTTTTATTGTTTTCTCTTTAGAAAAAGCATGTAAAGCATTATCTTAATTGTTTAGGAGGGAAATTTGTCTATGTTTGTTATTTAAAGCATATTCAGATTATAATGTTTAGCTGGTAGTGTAAACTAGATCACTGTTACATTATTCCTTTATAAATCACGTCATTTAGAGGAATCCCCCTCGATATAAGCACAAGCATTACTGTGTTTATATATAGTGTATTGTTTACATATTAGAAAATGGCGTGTGAAGTATAATCTTAATTGTTCAGGTTTGAGATTTGTCTACTTTATCCATGTTTGTTAAAAAGCACATTTAGATTTTTGTGTATAGTCAGCCATAGATATCAAAGCTCAACTAGTGCATAAAATTAATAAACACATTAAGAGGGTTTGACTAATTATTGTATATGAACATAGAACTATTAAATGGAACAGAAAATACACAGTGTACATTATAGGTCTGTCTTTAAAGCATGACGTTTCTTTATTTTTCTTAAATATCTAATTTTAGAAACATTTGGCCTCTCCAATTAGAGATTCTGATTGTGGGCACCTCTTTTTCCAAACTATTTCAACATGTTTCACCATCTTTAATACCATCAACATAATAATTCTCTATAAGAATACTGTCCAAATTTTTGAAATTGTCCAATTTATTTTCATCTGAATAACAAATTCTAAAATTCATACTTTATTGGGAATAAACCAAGTTTCATGCATTTTTATTTCATTTTGAATTGATCAATATTCATATTCAATTGAGGGATATGACAATAACTGGATGCAGTTTCTACGGAGAGGTAGAGGGGGCTATGGCCCCCACAGAAATTTGGCTGGCCTGGCGATTGCCCCCCTAGTTTCAAATATCACTGTGTTCTTAAATGCCTGGTGCTATTGGCCCCACTTGACAATTATTTGGCCCCCACTTGGCTCCTAGGCCACTGTTCGAAGGCTCAAATTTCAATGCTGGGCTGTGAACACTATTACTGATTACCTTATTTAAAAAATTACCCTTTTTAGGTATGATTGGTCAAACTCAGAATCCAAACTTACTTGTTTTTCTACATTTTTCCAAATCTAATGCTTCTATAATTTCATCTATTCTATGAAGTTTTTCAAATCTAGGAATTTTATCTGGCAGGTTTAACATGGCTGTGAACTGGAAAAAAAAAAGAAATATATGATAGGTAAGATTCATTGTACTCTATGGGAGTGCTAGAAGAATGGCACTTATACTTATGTGGTTTCAAGCGGTCATCCTCGATATGTGGATAGGTATAAGTGGGTGAAAACCAACACTCGGAAGAACAGGCATCAGAATTTTTCTTACTTTAAGGAGGATTTGAAACCACAGAACCTAATGGCCCAAGAGTAGATGATAATCCAGCTCACTTCTGACCTATGCCACATGATAGGGTTAGGATTAGGTGAAAGTGGTTGTAAAAACAAGCACAGCCCGAGGAAAAAATTCAGTTACATCAGTTACTGTTATATGCAGAAAAAAGTGCAAAAAATATTATATAAATTAAGAACCGAAATAACGTTTTCTGAAACTAATAGAAATTAATAGGAAACAATGTATTGTATGGTTAAAGGTTAGGGTTTGTTTGTTTTACAACATTTTAGCCCACAAAAAAAATTTGTCCTTTTGATGAAAGAAAAGAAACAAAATTATATTCCCTTTTTCCATTTTTATTGGTATATGATGCAAAATTTTCATTTTTACCCTTTTTGCACTGTACAACTGGATTATAACTTTTGTTTGGTTTCACAGTGCCAATTATCTGGATGAAAATCAGACCTGGATATAACTGAATTACTATTGCAGTGTATAAGGGGTATAAGTGAGATTCAGACAATCAACCTTTACACAAGTTTCACTCAAAATTCCATCAAATAAAAGAGAATCGGGTTACAATTTGTTTGTGTAAGAGAAAAAAGCCAAATAAAATTGACTTGACCTCATTTCATACTGCTGTCATATTTAGCAAGGGTGAATCAAGGAAATATAAGGGGAAAGACCCGAGTAAGGGTCACAAAAAAGGGGTCAAGGCTATTCGGGACTGGGGTTGATTGGCAAAGACAGGGCAGTCTCTTTTCTTGGAGGAAAATAGTTTTTCTACATTTTTTATGTTTATCAGGGAGACTGATAATACCGTTTTAATTTTCAATTAGACGTCTGTGATTCCTGCAATTCCTCTAAAACTAAGTGGTTGATGATGTATATTTTGCAATAGTGACGTCATCAAACATTTTCCTTTAAAAGGTTTAAATTGTGACTTTGTTATGTTTTCTGGTTAATGTTTAAAAACTACTGTACAAATCTTAGCTAAATAAACGCCAAAATGTAGAGAAATATGTCTCCTACTTATTCTGAAGGTTTCAACTAATAATATTGAGCTGTTACAAAGCTATACACCAAACTATATCAAGCTATTTAATTAACAATTCCTTTTTGGCAATTAAAGAAGGGTTTCATTATTATTTAGTGTCAAATTAAGCTAACTATTTGATTTGGTATTTCTCAAGAATTATCAGTATTCTTAATCATATAATTATGTTCTTATTGCATATAATTAAGAGTTTCAACCAATCATAAATGTCCATATATGTATAGTCTGGATAAACAAAAAAAGACTTTTTGACCTTTCTTGATCGGTCACTCTTTGAAATTCTGCTGGTAATCCTCTTTTAATTTAGTTAATTATGAATCAATTATGGACACGTGAGACAAACTGGTATTTTTCCAAGTCATTAGAACACCTCTACTTTCTATTCACATAAGTATTAGCATTTTCATTTTCATAAAGGAAAATAAGGGAATCCATCTTTAAGAATATATATCATAGATACAGAGTGAGTCAAATTTGTCAATTACTGTTTTGTTTACATGACCTTCAGCCTTTCTTCATTTCCTTTTAACCTAAACTGCAATCTGATTGGTGAGATACAAATACCACTAATTTCATTTCCACAAACAGAAGTGTAGTAGAGCTTAGTTTAACACGCAAAGGTTTAAGATGCATATGTATATACTGTTAATAGTTCAAAGTTCATTTTTACTGACTAGCATATTATTGTGAATAGATTCATTCATACGGCATATATTCCCGGGGAATTTGAAATCATACATTATTGCATCACTACCCATAATTCCATACTGGTATTGAAAGTAGTATTTATCCGCCATATTGTTATCAAAACACATTGGATGTTCATTTCTCGAAATAAGGTTATTCACTGATTTGAGGTTATAAATTAAAACATTAATACAAGGTAATATATCAAAATATTTTAACTTTAACTAAGTTTTAACATGAGAAGATATGCATAAAAAATGTCAAGTTAACAAATCAAATATTATACACGGGTTTGAATGAATATCATTAGAATAAAGGGCCTTGTGGTGTTACAAATCACAAGTTTAACATAAACATTTACAATTTTTCCTCTGAAATATGCATACAAACGTGCTTAACCTAAAATGTATGAATTTTGTTTTCTATACACGAGCTCTGACAATATTCAACAAGGATTCCATTCTGTGGTATTTCAGAACTTGATACAAAGTTGAAAATATTGGTTTTCTATTTGTGATTGCAAATATTCAATAGTTTATCTTTTTTTGTAGATTTTGATGTTAACAGATCAACAGATCAACAGATCAACAGCTGAAGTGTAACAGAAATGGCTCAAGCAACTGAAAATAGTGAGCTGCTGTGCAATTCATCCCTGAAAGGCATAGATTCTAATCAGCCATCATACAGGGACTTCAAAGGAGCAGAGCAGTTCAAATTTGACAAGGCTCAGTTAGTTCCCAATGATCCAGAATATAAAAATTTCTTGAGTTCAAGTCTGTTGCCATCTGCATCATCACCGACAAGCCTAGCTTGTGTTCATCGACTTAATTCACCCCATAGTAAAAATTATAAAGTGTGGGGCAGTAGTAAAAAGGAGCTGGAGCAGGTCATGAATAAGTATCTAAAATTCAAAGGATTTATAAATAGCCAAGACTTGAGTGGAAAACTTGAAGAGGGAGGATACCTGGTATCTAAGGATATAAACTCAGCTGTGTGGTGCCATGCTATTGGAGTCATGGTCTTGTCAAATGGACGCGAATACTTCGATTCAACAGGAAACAAACCAACACACTTTAATTCAGATTTTGAGTACATTGCCATTAACTCAGTGAAATTACAACATGATAACAATATGACCTGTGGTCCCCATTCGTGTTTTTATTTAAGTAAAAGATTGGAAGACAATAGCATGGATGATATAATTAAACAATACCCTAGTCAAAATGGTGGTACGTTGGAAGAAAATGACAACTTTGTCAATGAATATTTCAATAGTGCCTGTGTCAAGTCGATGAAGATTGTTAAAGAGTGACAAATGATCAATTCTCAGCTAAAACTGGACCCCTGTTGTGTTCACTTATCGCTACGGTAACAGCATAACTTTACTCAAGTGTATCAGGTGAATTTTCGTCCAATCAATACCAAGTTGACGACCAGTTCCTTTAGTGCAAGGCTTTAGATAGAATGGAAGACCAGTTCAAATCAATGCTCTGCTTGGTCGCAGAAAACTTAGATTAACTTTTAATGTGCAAAATTATTTGTTGTGTAAAATAGTATTTTTATGATCTTTAATATGGTCTGTATTACATGTGTCATAATCAAACAGTGCTAGTCTTTATGAGAATACTTTCTTAGTGCATTATGGGAAAACAAGCATGGAGTAGAAATATAATGTTTTTCAATGCATTTCTGTGATTTGTGAATTGAATAACCTTGAAAATATGAATTTTATATGTGAATAGTGTCTGTGAATTCCCAATGTTAATGACATGTTAGAATTGCAATCTTAGAATCTGATGTAGTATGTTTGTAAACTGAAGTGCTATTATTTAAAATATAAGTGAAAAACATTCCATAATGGAAATAATAACACTGTTCCTCCCATAAAGGGGTCAACATGACAAACTCAAATACTGTCTCAATTGGGTCCATTCAATTGAAATAACATTCCAAAATCCTCAGAACCCTAATATTGTTGGCCCAGTAGAAATCCAATTTCCTATGGTAATAAAAATGGAGAGAAATGTCAAAAAAGTCAGGAAAAGTTCACATTGTGGTGAATATACTAGTGAAAGTGGTCACGAATGAAAATGATGATAAACCTCTAAGATCATTCAATTTAGGTAGCACTTCCTGAAATTCAGTGAATGTTGTGTAAACATTGGTAAGCCATTGGTAAGTAATTGGTGAACACTTCCTAATAGACTACGATTTCTTACGAATGGTTACCAATGATTTTCAAAGAGCCATTAAGAATGAATTTAAATGTCTTCCTGAATATTTACACAAATATTGGGAATATACATGGCCTTCACCCCAGGGAGGTGTCCAGAGTTATAAAAGGCCCAATTTTCAATTCAATTTCATCATCACCAACAGGTGACAGAGAGGAAATCGCAATTTTTGAGCGAAGTTATCGTGAAATTCAAATATTTATGTTGCCCACAATGTGAGAATAGCATTAAGTTACAATTAAATACAGTAAATTATACTCATCCAATGATATGATTTGTGAATATAATAATCATGATTCAGTTGGACAGAAATATATGGATAAACGGGTAATTGTATCATTATTACAATCATTTTTACATCAAAATTTGTGAAAAAAAACATTTTTAACCATATATATATATATATAAATAGTCTTCAGTACTAGAAATGAAAGAAAACCGCATAATTCCTTTAGAAATACCTCAAACTATGAATTTCACTCACTTTTTCTATATTAGAGTATGTTAAAAAGATGAATTGCAAATATCATTATCTTACAGTGCAGTTTCTGTAACAGTATTGCAATGTATTATAATTAATTATAATTTTTAATTGATATTTTTTTAATAACTTTTTATAAATAAGAGTGGAAATAATATATAAAAAGTTGTTTCTGTATTTGTTATAAAAATAATAAAAGTTATGAAAGAGTTATTACATTTGTATGTAAGCAGAACTCAAACTGAAAAACAGGATCCGTATGTTTAGTCTGCAAAACTATTAACGTAAAAGGAAAACTGCTAATATTGGGTCAGGAAACAAAGGAGAAGAGGAGAATGTCCCACAGTAATGATGTTATAAAGACGATTCCCTCATTTTAGCGGTCTGTAGCCGTCTGCAAATGTCTAGCCATTCGTTGCAATTACAGAGGTGGTGAGTTTGAGGACATATTAAACAAGAACTTATTGGATAGGATTTTCTCTGGTCTGATTTCAATTGATTTTGAGTTTGCATACATATAATCTCATCTTTACTTTGTAGCTAGGCATTGTCTAGTGTTGGATCTTTAGATATTTATGACCATATATAGAGGGCAGAGCTGTTCAACTCAAACAGACTATATGATTGGTTAAATTATTGAGGAAAGCTTTCTTATTAATGTTAGTTCTAGAATGAGTGAGTAACTCATGTACAGAGCTACACTGCAACAACACTTTACTTTTTGGGGGGAATGGTGTATTCCAAAATGGGAAAGGTTGACCTCTTATGACCCAAATGTAACTGAATATTATTGCACAGAAAGTTTCATCCCAGACCACAATAATAGTATTAAACCAGTTCTTTTTAGAATCTACTCATACTCCCTTATCTTGTAGAACTGATAATAAGAAAACTTTGATATTCAATATATTTTTATTGTAGATTATCAGTACAGTCTTATGTTCAAAACTAAATACTATCTCTGTTAACTCCACCCTACTTTATATCTTGCAAATCCCTTTTATTTGTGACCCTGGCCAGTGCTTTACATAGGAGATTTTAGGAACTTATCACTCTTAATACCAGTACAATCAATTATAAATACATGCAAAGCTATGGATTTTTCGTATGTCATCTGCCCTTGTATATTCTTGTCAACCGCAGACAACACTGATCTCAGATATCCATTTTGAAAAGTGATTCAAATAGTTATGGATGATGTTCTCCTGTAGAAAAGGTACATATTTGCCATTTTTTGGATACATCATCAATACAAGAAAAAAAGAGTACACTTACATATAATGTTTCCCATAATGTTAGATTGGTATAGAATAAATCTTCTTGTAAAACATAAGCCATTTTTCTACGTAAGCGCTTATTCAATCTGTGACCATTTAATTCTATATCTCCTGATTTGGCACCAGTTCTACCAGCTATTGTATTTAGTAATGTTGTTTTCCCAGAACCTTTGGAAGCAAAAAGGATGGAATTTTAATTCCTAGAAACTAAGTTAAGAAACTATTAAGTTATGATAAGTGCAATGAGGAAAATTTGCCAGAAAAGGTGTGATGCTGTGATTATTTGCTTACACATTTACAATTTCAGTGGTGGAAAGATATTATAAATCTCAGATATCCTAGACTATGGTGGTTCAGCCTCTTAAGGTTTAAACCAAGGGTAGCTGATATCCTACCTTTAATTTTTTTTAAAAAACCTTCACCCTATTTCATTACCTTACCTAATTAGCCTAGCATGTGCAGAAAAATCATGTCTTTCTTTCAACCCAGGGTTTGCAAACACTTACCGCTAGGTCCCATGACAGCCAAAACTTCTTTACTGTGAACCACCCCAGAGACATTTTGTAAGATAACTGTTTTATTTATGGAAACATTTATATCTTGAAAGACCAACTTGTTATCTGGAGACTTCGCTTTGTGCATTTTACTGAAAATATAAATTTTTGTGTATTCATTTGCTAAACACAATTTTAAACAGAAAGCAGAAAGCATCAGGTCTTGGTCGAAAGATTTTTATCGCTGACTAGAGTCTTATCAAGAGTTTCACCAACTGGCCCAGGCACACAAGAGGACAAAATTCTCCAGTCAGTTGTTTTCCACCATGTCAGTAATCATTGTAAGGAAAATGAATCTGATAAAATCATTGGAGACAGTTATAAATCCTGTAGGGAAGCGATAATCATGTTGTGGAAGCACAGGACCATGCAAGATTTTACTCAAGACTTTCATCGGCGACAAAAATCTCCAACCAAGACAGTCGGACAAGATATTGATTAACAGAATTGTATTGCTTGTACAGATTTTTATGATTCTTATCTACTTATAAATAGCATGAAAAACATCTTTTAGTTACACTATCAAAAATAAATACAGTCATTTGTTGCAATTTCAACAAACATGAAATTTTGTGGTCAAAACAGGTCAAGTTAGCTGTACAGATGTCAGATATTCATGAGATTGTAAAATTAAACTAGTTTGACCACTATATACACTTACACCAAGAACACTTTTCACCATCAAGTTAGGTCTTTTACAAAATAAAACCTAATTAGTTAAAGGTGAAGTATGCACCAACTTAAATATATCAAGAATTGTGCTTTAAAACAGGTCTAAAACAGCTTAGCAAATAACAATTTGGACAATTATAATTCAATTTGTTCTATTCAGTCAGGTTGTATTCTCCAACATGAAAGAGATTGCAGGGAAAAACTAAGAGATTTATCACAAAATAATACTTGGACTTAAAAGGGGAAGGAGATGGATTGATGAACCCCTGCTTTAAAAGAATATCTTTGACTATACACAAATATATCAATCGTCATTCTTGTTTTCTTTCATCAATACCATCATTGTTATAAGAACTGCAATTGCTTACACCTTTAAGAATACAGTCAGATATTCACCCAAAAAATTCTCAATATCATTCAGCTTTGACAGTCCTATTAGACTAAGATATAAATATTTTAAAATATGCAGCTATTATAAGTTATCAATAATAATGCGTCATATATCCTGAACTCCCATCTTCACAATGTCAAGTTATTACTAACTTATCTACAATGGCCACCTTTCTTGTATCACAGGCAGCTTCCTTGACAAAAAGACTATAAACATAAGACCATAATGTTTACAGTCTATCTATCAAGGGCTGATTGACTGTATTTGCTAGCATACAATCCAATAAAATCGCTGCATTCTGTGATACAAGAAAGGTAGCTGTTGCAATTGGGGTTTAAGACAAATTTGTAACCTGTTGACCTTGTAAAGTTGCTCTGGGCTTAATACATGATTTGTAACATTCTTCTGTTCTCTACATTATGTTGGTAAATAAAATTTATAGATCATTGTGGGACTTTGCTTTCAGCAATCGAAATGTTATCGAAATGTCAATTCTTTTTTTTTTTTTTTTTTTTTCGAAATTTACACACCTTCCTGAGCTTAGACTACAATAGTTTCAGCAACCATTCAACATTCACGAACCTTAGATATAGGCGACGATGTGCATAAATATATTTTGGATCTTTTTTGCAAAACCGGAAGTGCCACAGTTCAATATGTGCAAGAATAGATAACCGGCTCTAGAAGTCGTATTTTTCGGTCGATTTTCTTTGGGTTTGCATTTTTGGAATCTACTGTTAAAATCTGAAAGAATAGCAGTTTCAAAATTTCAAAATTTGTCGCAGACATTTTTTGGCCGATTTTCGAAATTTTTGGACCATTTTTCAGTTTTTTTCGGATTAATCTGAAATTTTGATAAAAGATGCATGTCACTAATGTAAACCATTTGACGTATTCAAAATTTTTGCGTCACTTCCGGTTAAAGTGGAAAATCGATTTTCACTTCCGGTTGAATAACTTCCGGTTGAATAACTTCCGGTGTGATTGAAATATTTCAACGAAATTATGTATATCGTTATTAATCTTAATTCTATGGCCGATTTTAAAATAAAATTTAGTCCGAAAAAAATACTTCGGCCGCCATCTTGATTTGATACTTTTTCATAAAACTCAAAATGGGGCTTCAGGGGAGAATGGGATTGGTCAAATTTTTATGTTGGTGTATACTTTAGTCGATGGCGACAAAAATGTTGGAAATGGATTTTTGAATTTGACTTTTGCTTTTTTGCAACTTCTGGTCGAATTTTTTCAATTTTTGAAGGCTTGTATCTCGTGACCTTGACCTTTGATGACATTGACCTTTTTAGGGTCAAAGGTCATTGACCTTGGCTATCATTTGATACTTTGACCTTTGACCCCAGACATGTACTTCCGGTTTTATAGCTATCTGTAAAAAGCCAAATTCGCAACTTTGGACTGCTCTAACACGTGACCTAATTAACCTAGAAGGTTAATTTTTTTGGTTTCCTAATGTTCTTCTCATGCACTTTACATAGATATAGAACAATTGGTTTTTTTAAAGCAAAATTGAAATTCGTGATTTTTTCAAATTTGAGTTTTGTTTTACCATATTTGTGTCTTTTTGATCTTGGTGTATGTATATCTTATGACCTATTTTATGGAGAACCTTGATATTTGGAATACAACTCGACACTTTGAATATGAATTCACCTATGGCAAAAAAATTGGGGTGGGCCTGGCACATCCGGGTTGAATTACTAATTGTTTACATTTTGGGGCTGGGGCATAACTCGCATAGGATACGTTTGTTATAAAAGGGACTTTGCACACAATTACCTCATCCTTTTGGCCAGTTTGTGTTAACAGCTCAGTTGTTTCAGCTTTATAGTTCCAAAAAAGGAACGGGTTTTAACATTTGGATATTTTCATTTTTCGATTTTGACCTTTGTTGACATTTGTTGACCTATATCTTTTGACTTGAATAATGTAGAAGCTTGAAATTTGAAACACAACATAACATTTGGAATATCAATTACCCTATGCAAAAAAATTAAGGTGGGCGTGGCACATCCGGGTAATATTACTCATTATTGATATTTTTGGCCAGGAGCATAACTCGCAAAGTATACATTTGTTCAAAATGGGACTTTGCATACAATTATTTCATGAATTGAGCCACTTTGTCTTAGAAGTTCGGTTGTTTCCGCTTCTTAGTTCAAAAAAAGGAACAGGTTTTGGAAATTCAAAATTTTCAATTTTTGACCTTGACCTTTGATGACCTTGACCTTTATTGGGTCGAAGGTCATTGACGTTGTCTATTAGTTTATGCTCTCATATTTGACCACTGACGTCTACTTTCGCTTTTATAGCTGTCCAAAAACATCCAAATTCGCAACTTTGGACTGCTCTAGCACGTGACCTAATTAACCTAGAGAGTAAATTTTTTCGGTTTCCTAATGTGCTTCTCGTGTACTTTACATAGATATAGAACAATCGTTTTTTTAAAGCAAAATTGAAATTCGTGATTTTTTCAAATTTGAGTTTTTTTTTTACAATATTTGCGACTTTTTGAGCTTAGTGTATGTATATGTTATGATCTATTTGATGTAGAACCTTGATATTTGGAATATAACTAGACACTTTGAATATGAATTCACCTATGACAAAAAAACTTATGTGGGTGTGGCACATCCGGGTTGAATTACTAATTGTTTACATTTTGGGGCTGGGGCATAACTCGCATAGGATGCATTTGTTCAAAAAGAGACTTTGCACACAATTACCTCATCCTTTTGGCCAGTATGTATTAACAGCTCAGTTGTTTCAGCTTTATAGTTTCAAAAAAGGAACGGGTTTTAACATTTGGATATTTTCATTTTTCGATTTTGACCTTTGTTGACTTTTGTTGACCTATATCTTTTGACCTCTATTATGTAGGAACTTGACATTTGGAACATAACGTAACATTTTGAATATTGATTAACTTATTCAAAAAAAATTGAGTTGGGCGTGGCACTTCCGGGCTTAATTACTCATTATTGACATTTTTGGCCAGGGGCATAACTCGCAAAGTATACATTTGTTCAAAATGGAACTTTGCATACAATTACCTCATATTGTGAGCCACTTTGTCTTAGAATTTCGGTTGTTTCCGCTTCTTAGTTCAAAAAAAGGAACAGGTTTTGGAAATTGAAAATTTTCAATTTTTGACCTTGACCTTTGTTGACCTTGACCTTTGTAGGATCAAACGTCATTGGCATTGGCTATCTATTTGTACTTTCATATTTGCTGTCCTATGTCAACTTCCGGTTTTATAGTCGTGTGCAATTAGAAATTTTGATGACGTATATCTCTTGATCTTGACCTTTTTAGACTTTCTCTTTTACAAGATCAAAGGTCATTGACCTTGGCTATCTGCTGATACTTTCATTTGTGAGGTCTGACGTCTACTTCCGGTATTAGAATCTTCTAAAAAATGAAAATTTCTCAACTTTAGACTGTTCTTGCGCTTGATCTAATTATCGTGGAAGGATGATTTTTTCGGGGTCTTTTGCAATTTGCTACATTTGCAAAGTCCCACTCTGTGCCACGAGTGGCTCTAGTTATTTCTTTGAATTAGAATCAACTTCAAAATAGTCCAAGGGGTGAATGTCAACACTAGGTCAACTGGTATCAGAAATAGTCTACCTGAGAAGCACCTAATTGCCTAGCAGACGATAATCAAACTTGCTACCGACTAAGTCACTTTACTGACTAGTATTTGGAAACCACAAGAATATAAGATATGATAAACATACAAACTTTATGATTCCAAACTGTTTTGAAGCTGATATTCAGAATTAATCAGAAAATTTGATTTATCACCAAAATTCTGACAGTAAGAAGACAGTAACTTGGTATTAGTAATTATACAAAACATGAATTTGTGTTCAGTCCAGTAGAAATTTTCTTTCAAATTTTACATGTATTGATTCACATGTGTCACATATGTAGATTTTTTTTTTAGATGTATGATATTAACATCATATTCCTATTTTAATTAAGATCATTAAAGATATACTACC